GGGTCGTGGAGTCACCGGTCTTAAACTGCGTCGTGTGTACTCCGTAGAGAGTCATGAATTCATAATCCTTGACAGAATCCGATCTAGGGTGTGCCAGCGGTCTGTTTTACTCCGCACCAACTCCCATTCTAACACCAAACCTTTAGACTATGACTGCTTTTGGGGACTGGAGAAAATACTCTGATATTTTGTCTTCTCGTATCAATATATATCCATACTCCGCTCACTCCGAAATGGAAATGCTTGTGTATAGACTGGTGATCTGTGGTTGCTACCCGTAAAGGCCTGATGCCGGCATCACCCTCAGGGAAGAAACATGACACCTCCCTTCGAAGCCGATTCCTAATGCTTTATGGTCGAACACTGTCAAATGAAAGAAGGAAGAAAACACAATGGCCACCAGAGAACCAAACGACTAGAAAATGGCTCGGATGGGCAGAAAAATTAAGCCACGTCATGGGCAGGAGCCGCGACGCCAGCCACTGAGCCTATCTTGCTCATAGACAGGAAGCTATCATGATTATCGAGAATGTCTGTTCATCAGCATCGTCCATAGGTGAGGTAAGAGGTCGGGTATGTGGCCATCTGTCTTGAGTCGCATAAAGACAAGATAACCCCCCCCCCCTTCGCACACCGTAACTCTGTGTGCCTCTGGACATAATCCTATTGGCAGACGAGTCGCGCTGGTTGCATCCCATTTCTATCTGCCAGGATCCGGGCCATACAAGTGGGAATGCCGGGTTGAATAAGTAAGTGCCTTCGCTGGCACCATAGAGATGCGCCGATTGGACCCATTGAAGTTGGGCTGGCCCTCAGAAGTGGCCGGTGCATCAATAGACAAAGTAAATCGTGCTAAGTAAAGAAATGCTTTGTGGCATGTCGGTGCTTACGGGCTCTCGTCGTATCAGACATTGCAATTAGCACGCTTGCTACATGCATTCATTCGTAGAGCCCTTCTTGTCGCGCTTGGAATTCAACTCTCATAGAGCGTTGTGACGAGAGTCAGAGTGGGGACGGCTGTACAATTCCATATTCATCTCTGCCATTGACGAATTTATCGAGATGCTTCACAGTGCCGTCTCGTGCTTTGTTCGCATGTACTAAACCGAGGCAACCCCTACACATAGTCCCTCCAAACTCGATCTGGTACAGAGACCCTTCATCCTTGACAGAGAATGCTTCTGGAGAAGGCCCTTGATATAGCGCTCATGGTGGCGACCGTTCACGGGTTAGACGGCCAGACCCTTGTGAGAAATACAGCGTCGCCATAGCCTGGCAAGAGGCCAAGCGCAATTTTGAAGGATGGAAACAACGGAAGAATGTGATGCGACACAAATCAGCCATGGTTTTTGAATGCGCCCTGAAACCGCGGGTCAGGAACCAGGCTGGAAGATGGCCCGTTACCTAGACCATGCGTGCGCCAGATATGGGTGAATCCTGTGCCACGAGGGCTCATCGCAAATCAGTAAGCTCCAGGGCGTACTCCGTACAAGTCACCAGCCGTCTTGAGTGTTGACAGCCAGCAAAGATACCGACCGTCTGAGCATTTTCCCAATCGTCGGCATGGTATTTTTTACGTGCATTTGCGATTTCTTGTTTGCGACGGGGCCTAGCTGAATCAAAGATGATTGCGATTTGAACATTCGAAATCGGACGAACTTATTCATCGCTAGCCCATATTAGTTATCCACGGTACCAATGCCGCACTACTCCGTACATCGGGGCCTCCTGGTCGCTTATATCATCGTAGCAAGCACTGACCAACTGGCGAAGTAAGCGATCCAACGCCGTTTGGAGAATAATGGAGCTCATGTTTCATTGCGCTTGTCTTTGAGAGACAGACCTTCAAGGCGCAACTCACACTTGCCAACGTAGAATAGACGGTGACGGAGCATTATTCATCAGGCAAACCGTACCGGCTCTTGCGACCTGAACACATTATTTTGTCCAACAGAGGCTTTTCCACAGCCGCTCCCACAGCCGCCAGCCATGTTTGGGCAGCAGACATGGTCCCCACCACACTCACCACACTCTCAAGGCATATTGACTCCGCTTGTCACTCGAATCCCTGCCAGCCAGGCAAACGGGCGGCTCTGATGAGGTGGGCAAAAGGTCTTCGATTGGCTCCGGATAGCTCTCCATCTTGGATGGAAGGGGAAGCATATGGCTCGCAAAACGTTGTTTGCTCCGATTCCCCCTCCTGTTATCTTCTCGGTGTCAGAAAGTTGAGGGGAAAGATGAAGTGACAAACTTACTATGAGGTTGGACACGGCCAGTTGGTATCCATCCATGTCCACGATGGGCGAGGTCAACTAGCCCATGGTGCGGTGAGCTCGGAAATGCGACTATGCAGCAGGCCAAGGCAACACAACCAAGCGACATGCATGGCATTTACAGGCTATGTTGCAGAGGAACCAGTCGTTCTCTGCGTTGTTCCACTGTACCTACAGTGCTTTACGCTTTACGGAGTACCCTTGCTGCACCCTTTTCAAGGTTGCCAATCCGTACAGGCTCCACGGGCTGAGAGCGTGCTTGAATGTAAAACTCCAACGTGAATATTCCGTACAGCGGGAGACTAATCAGGGAACGGCCATCCAACTGCAAGAGTTGATAATCTCACCTGTATCGCCGAGCCAGGGGCCCAGTGGCGTATTGCGTTGCCCTCTGGGTGGCCAGCAAGGAAGTCTTGGATATTTGTTGAGCTTGACTACTAGTGATCTGTGGCAAGTGCGTCTGTGGATGTATGGCTGGGGTTGAGTCACCAGACCTGGGATGAGTGGGACCACTTAAGCCAGCAGCATCTCAGTATTAGAAGGGTGCTTCGAGCTAGAGGCTCTTGAATGAGTGCGTGTAGTTATGATGTATGCTTGTTGAACCTGGTTTTGGTGTGGTATGTGCCTGTTCCTGGTTGCCTGCTCGGAACCGTTGACTGCAGAAACAGCTCAAGGGTGTTCCTTGAGCTCCTTGCCTGGTGTTGTTGGTTTTTCGTGTCGGTGACCTTGACTGAAGCGGCCACTCGGTTCAAAGCAAGGCCCCCCGCTAATTCCCATCGGCACGCTGGCAAAGTGGTTATTATCGAGGAGAGGGTCCGCATATTGTATCGGCTTCCCGCGATGGAGACACAGGTCGGGAACGGAGAATTTGCACGTAGAAATTCGGCATCTTCACAGATATGCGAGAAATACAGGAGGGATTGTACGAGATACGTTGGGACTGTCCAGCTGGGACCAAGACGTGCAAGAATATGTACGTAGGGACGGAGGCGCATTGGATCGCAAGTAGGCACTGGAGCTCGAGGCTTGTGGCAGTGCGTACCTTTCAGGTCAAACCACGAAGCAGGTGCGACTGGAGACCAGTCGGGAGACTGGGTTACGGTAGGAGTTTCGCGGAAGGTACGCTACGCCACAGCACACCATTGTGCCTGCCTGTTTGCCCACCACCATCCCATGGGCCACCACGGGCGACGGCGGGTGACCATGGGCTCGCATGGCCAATGGCCTACGACCCAGGCCCAGGATCGACGGATGGGCTGGCAAATCCCACCCTCTTGTCTTCTCCTCATATGTACAGTTCACACACATTCATTCCGATCCGGGGACGGGTGGAAAGCTGGAGGGCAGGAACGGGGACGGTAATTGGCATTGGATGGCCAGGTATCAAGTAGGTGCAGGTCGGGTAAGATGAGACTAACTGGAGTTTGAGTTTGGAGCTCCAGTACTTGAGGCGGAGGCACAGCGACTCGACGGACAGATCTGCCGTGCATTTTTCATGTCATGTTAAACGGCTCGCGGCGGTTTCGTACTCGAACATGCCGTAGCCAGAGTAAACGGTCATTATTAGCAAGAGACACAACATTGTTGGCGCCAAAGCCGCCGTGTGTTTCAATGGACGTTGACGGTACGGAGTAGACAGTCGACCTCGGCGCCAACGAGTCGTTCGCTGTTCGGCGGCAAGGCCAGCCAGCTTGGAGCCTGGGACGTTTCATCAGGCCCGACTGCGCATGTGGCCCCAGCCTGTTCCAACGGTCTGGCGCCAGGCGCCCAGCGGCCAGGCCTCTACTTGACGTTTTTACTGGGCAATGGCTATTCCACAGAAGGCCTGACCAGCACTAAGTTCACCTTCTCAGGGAGTTTCGCCGCTGCTGGACAGTTGTTCTAGGTGTCCCAAAACCCTCCCCCCCTCTCCGAGAACTCGCTACTGGCCCTGTCCCCCAACTCGGTACGCCCATGCGGCGGCGACAAAATCGTTCGACTTCGCCAGCCAACTCCTCTTTTCCTCAAGCACACATTCTTCCGTCTTGGCCGCCATCAACAACCATCCAAGCAACTCCTGGTATCTGTGGTAAGTCCCATCGTCTCTACCGTCATGCGCGATCACCGTCTGGCCTCAATTTCAAGTATCCAAATCCGTCTTGCCGCGGAGGCGCTGCGCATGTGCAGTACTCAGGGCCCCGGTTCCCCCAGCCTGAGGTAGTTGGCCAGCTTGGGCGGTGGGAGCCTCCGTCGACTTGTCTTTCACACTGATGAATGCCTTTGCCCGTCCCCTTTGCTAATCGTCCCAAACCACTATTTAGGCACTATCCCTATCGTCGTCGCAACTTGCCCAGCAGTCATCGCAGCCGCCGCGCAAGTCCGGAGTCAACGACCGAGTTGGCGCTTACCGCCCACGGCCTTGACGGCGGTGTTGTCCCTGGCTTGTCCTCAAAGAAGCACACTTTCGACGAGGGAGTAGCCGACACGACAATCATACAATCCAAATCAAGTCGCAAACAGGAGATTGTTGGGGGCCTCATTGAGCGACTCCTTTCTTTACTCTCGTCTGGCGCCTGGCTGCGTCAACCCACACCCTCGCTCTGCCTCTGCCACAGGCTAAAGCCAAAACCCGCACCAGCCGGACTGCCTCACGCAATCAAGCAACATTACCGCCTCGATCGTCCGGTCGCTTCGCCCGATAATTACATCTACACAAAACTGTAAACAAAGGAAAATTAATTTGGCGCCATGGCTTCCATGTCGCCCATCAATACCTCTGTGCCTGTGTCGGGAGACTCGTCCAATGGGGGCAGTGTCTCGCCAAGGCAGAGTGCAACTCCCAAGAATGTCGCATTTGAGCTTCTCTTCTTGGAATCGCCTCAGTACCGGGCGCGCTTGCCCATGCGAGTGCAGATCTACCCACATGACACTACAGACTCAATAGTCACAACCGTCAAGAACTTTTACGGCTTGTACTCTGGTCCCACAGGCTCCAAAGGCGTCAGTTTCGAGGACGAGCACGGAAACACGCTCATTGCTCGATATGAGAACTTCCGAAACAACATGGTTGTCTACGTTCGAGTAATTGAGGAGTCTCCTGCTGCCTCGACTGGCTATAGCCAACATGCATTCCACCAACAGTCCATTGGTGCTGCAGAGTCCTATTATGAGCAGGACAACTACCAGCCTCAACAGATGCATGCTCCGTGCTATGCTCAGGATGTCGCCCGGCCCGGGTCTACAGCCTCACGGAGGCGCAGCCCGTCTCCGAGTGGTAGTCGTGGCCGGAGGAGCGATTCTACAGGCACAAATGAAAAGCAAGGGCGGTCTAGATCTGCCAAGGATCGTAGAGCCTTCAACCACGCACACTCCGATGCTTATAGTGACAGCATGAACGGGTACAGCAGTGGAGATGGCGCCCCCAGCAGCACTTCTGGCAAGAGCAAGGAGCAGCTTGGGACTACGGATATTAGTGTCGAGAATATTGTCGAAGGTGGCCGTCGCAAACGAGCCAAGTTTGAGAGTTCGGTAAGGAATGCCTCCAGCAACGCAGTGCCACGGCCACGCCTGGCTATCAGTCCTTGTACACAGGAGAGTCCTTTTTGCTAATCTTGCAATTCCGTATAGGAATTGCCCTTGTTTGCACCACCCCAGATGCCAGCGGCAACCTCCAATCCTTCGGTTTCGCCCGCTCGCCGTGCGGAGCACCAGCGCCCGTCGCTTCCCTTTGTGCATCCTGGGCAACATCCATTTGCAAACCCCCGGCCGATGCAATCTCCTCAAAGCTATAACAATGTTCAGCCTAGCATGTATGCTACGCCTGCGCATGGCCATCGTTCCCGCGACAGCATCGGATACGCCAGCAACGGCAGTGGTGTAGGCTCTGGAATGGGAATCCTGCCCACACCCGACCCCACAGTTGGGAGTTGCATGTCTGAGGAAGACAAGGATGTCGCCATTCAACTCATGCGACTAGGCGACATGTCCAATATTTCTCACGGTCGCACGTCGGCATCAACGCTGGATGATACCTTTAGCGGCCGGGCTGACGCCGCGTCGTCCACTGGAGCCACTAGTGATGGCGAGAGTGATAGCGAGGACGAGTTGCCGGTGTCGCGCCGGCAAAGACTGGATGCCTCTGGAACTGCCAGGCTAATCTATCCGTCTACTGAAACAGGTTTCAACCCTGCTGCTACTGAGGCTCCTGATGCCAGCGGCGATGACGCTGTATATGAAGACGGCACTTCTGGAGCGCATGCAGGCAGCCGCAAGCCCATCCAGGCAAAGAGCAAGCCGGCAGTTACCAAGCAACGTCCCACCCCTTCTGTATCAAAGGCATCATCGGTCCAAAAGGCTCCCAAAGCTCCCCGCCCCGTCAACAGCATCAAGACGAAGAAACTGCCTGCTACTGCTACAGTCCCCGGCCCAATGTCTCCTGCCTCAACCACTCACTCAAGGAAACCATCGGTTGCATCGGTTGGACAGATTCCCCAGCCTGGCGAGGACGAACAGCCTGATCTCTCCACCAAGCCTCGCTGCCAACGTTGCCGCAAGAGCAAGAAGGGATGCGATCGTCAGCGTCCGTGCGGACGATGCCGAGATGCGGGACTTTCTGCTGATCAGTGCATCAGCGAGGACGAAGGCAACGGCCGCAAAGGGCGATATGGTCGCCATATGGGCGTGCCGATCAAGAAGGATGAAGTCACGACTCCGCTGCAGCCTGCTCTGTTGCCGGCGGCTCCCATCACGACAGCTGCAATGACGGCTGACAAGGTCAAGAAGCGCAAGAGGTAGTGTTGTCGTGAGCCGCGAACGCTTTTCCACAACATGAGTTGTCGAGCGCGACCATGTTGCGATCTCGATACGTTTGTATAACAACCTGAGCATTACAGCCTGGCTTACCTCTGTTAAGAAGACGCGCGCGATAGGAGCGCAAAAGCGGTTCCCTTGTTTCTCTTAGATTCTCCCTACAGTCCTTACTGGACTTGCAACAACCAAACGGCGGGCAGAATGGTGTGTTTTATTCTGGAATCATGGTGGGCCTTGTCTCTACTTTTTGGAGCAGGAAATCGCCGGGACAAGGGGACAAATTGATGCGCAGAGCATTTTACTGCTGTCCTTTGACTGGATTTCTTCCGGGAACGGCACCCCCAACATTTATGACTCTCAGGGGGGAGGATGTAATTATGACGGTCGAATCTTTTTGCAAGACCATTACGCTCCTTCATTGGCGTTAGGAAAGAGGATTTGTTGGAGTTTGAGTTTCTCTTTTCTCTTTTCTTGTTTTCTTTTCCTCGGCAGAAAATGGATTTCTGTATTGTTTACGTCGGCCATTTTACTTATTTTGTTTCTTGCATCACTCGTGTGTGATTACTTATTCTTTTTTTCGGCTGGCTGCGCAGACGAAAAGAATTCTGCGGATAAAGTGCCGGGGCAAGGAGACGAGAAGAAGACCAAAAAAAAGCCAACAGAATGGTGCGATTGGAAATAATATTGATCCAGCTACACCGCATGTTTTGATGTACGCGTTGTGTGCAACCAAAGATTGAGAGCGCCCAGGTCTCATGCGCTTGCCCTCAACATTTGCGAGGAAACGGGCTTGGGGAATAAGAGGGGACTACGGACAAGGGCAACACGCGGAGGCCAGTTGTTTTTTGTTATTTTTTTGCTTTCGATTTTGTGGCCCTTGTTCTATTTTATCTGGCGAGGATGGACTGCGATGTTGCACAGGGTTCAGGTCAGCAGGGAAGGTTTTTGGCCGTTTTGTGCGTGTGGCTTTTTTGACATGTTGATTTTCTTCGTTGCGTTTTATCGCGTCTCTCTCTCTCTCTCTCTCTCTTTTTTTTTTTTCTTTTCTTTTTTTTATATGATTTTTAGTGAATTTGCGACCGTGTTAGTTTCGGCCGGGATGGGAAGGAAATGTTGGGGATAGCAAAAAGGGGTAGCAGCGCACATGCGAATTGATTTTGATTGTTCAGTTCCGTCCTGGCCCTCTTGCGACTCGAGACTTCAAATGTTGTGGACGGGAATTGGCCTGGGCGCCAAAGGAGCCAATTGTCGTGACTTGGCTGCGACAGCAAAAACAACAACAACGTGAAACCACAAGCGCCCGACTGGCACACGTGCTCGCGCGCCGCGGCGGGAAAAGAAGAAAAAGTAGGCCATGCGGTTCAACCCGCTCGCGCGCCTGCACTGGCCACTGCTCCTTGGCGAATTCTGCCAAGGAGGCTGTTTTTCTATACTCGGCGCAAAATCGCGGTGCGCAACTCGGCGCATATCGCAAATTCATCGCATCTTGAATGGAGTTTGGACGCGCTATTCCTTGACGGGTCTAGCGTGGACTTTTTCGGGAAAAGCCGTTGCAGGGGTCGTCAGAGCACCAGGGAAATAAACCGATTGGCTGGTGTGACAGACACGTGACTTTTCACGGGAAGGGCTTCTGCTGGGGAGATGCCTGATTTGAAAATTTTGACGTCATTGGTTGGCAGATGGTACCCCGCCATTTACCTGCTGCGGGGTTTTCTAGGTTTCGTGCGCAGCTCAAGGAGGATTGGGCGCGGGTTATTTTTTTTTTTGGGTGAGGCTGCTTTTTACTGTGGAAAATGGTTGCCGTTTTCTACATGCCCAACTTGGGGCAGCGAGTGGGAAGAGACTAGGTTGGGCTGGAGGGCTGGGTGCAAAAGGGCCTAGAACCGGTGTTTTGAAGACTGGCGCATGAAAGACGGTCCGCTGGAAAGGGGGGGGGGGATTTGCGGCGCGGGGACCAGCGAAAAAGTGCCTTGCCCTTGCCGACGGTGGTGGCGGTGTCCGGTAGTCGGGGCGGGGATAGGCCGCCGGTAATAAGACGGGGTTGGTTTTTCTTCGCGGCTCGAAGGAGAACTATTCCATGTAGGGCTACCCTACAGCCCTATCGACCCCCTTGGGTGGAAACGTTTGCTCTGGCACTGCTTCTTTCCCCTTTGCAGTCGGCTTCAGTTGGCATCTCTTTCTCCCATGATCCCATGCCGGCTTCTGCACCGGCTGCCGACATCCACGTAGGTGGACTTGCCTGCAGGGAAAATTTTCCCATCCTCGCTCGGGTGGAGTCCGGTGTGTACGGTCGACTTGTGTTGGATGGGCAGCGCAACACCAAACACCCATCTACCCCGGACGCCACTGCGGCGACGCAGAGCGATAAGACGTCGGCGGAGGCGATGCCTCGCCCTGCCAGCCTGTGTGCTGTGTTGGCGGTACGTAATGAGGACGTACGGGCCGGTGTGTTGACCCCACAGACTCGGCCGCTTTCAAAGTATCACGAGACCGTGGCGTCTGGGGTTGAGGAAATAGGCCATGGCTCCTTTGTACACGAACTTGGTTGGGAGCGTGTAAGTCGGCCACGGGAGCCGTCACGGTTCACCACCACTGTCTACCGCCCCCCCCGTCATGCATCGCCTGCTCGCCTGCCTGAGAACACTGTGCTACCTTCGGACCGGACGTGTTTCTGTTGCGTGAGAGCTGCGGTTGTCCGATTTCGCCTGCTGGCTACCTCACATCGGGTTGCTGGCGGCGTGGGAATGCAGGTGCGCCAAGGAATGTCATCACCCTCGAGGCTGGGAGGTGGATGCGACGCGCAGAGATGGTACATGGTCGAGACTCGAGAGTGACCGCCGTATGCACGGGGGAAAACTTTTCCCCTGGGCCATCACCCGAGAGTTGGCGTTTGGATGGCCCGAGTAGTTGACTGCCTGATCGGCCATGCTCTCCCTATAGACTGAAACAAAAAGTATAAGTAGTAGGTGGCGGACCAAAGAGTAAATATATCTGACCAGAGACGATCAGAAACAACAAAGCCGACATTTCTGCTTCAAGTTGAGTACTGTGTTTTCTCGCCCTCCTGGTCAAGTTGCCCCTTTTCTCTAGCCCTGATCCCAAGTCCATCTCCTTGGTGGAAAGACCCATGGACTCGTCAAAGGCCGTCGATATCGAGAAACAAGTCTGCACTGTCCAAGAGGTACACCTCATGGATGATATCAAAACATCTCCTCAGTCGTCCTGCTTGGCCACGGCTCCCATTACCCGCGAGCCTCATTCGCCAGCCCCCAGCCCAACCCCTGACCCTGATGCATCACTTGAACACGATTTCGTTCCCCCAGATGGTGGATGGCGAGCCTGGTCTCAAGTTCTTGCCGCCCATCTCGTCAATGCAATGTCGTGGGGATATGCCGCCTCATTCGGCGTGTACCAACTCTACTATGTCGACACCCTTGGTCTGCCCTCCGCCAAAGTCTCATGGATCGGCTCTTGCCAGGTGTTTCTGACCTTTGGTACCTGCGCCTTTTCCGGCCGTCTTGCCGACGCCGGGTACGCTCGAGAAACAGTCATATTAGGCTCCTTCTTCGCCGTGCTGGGCTCTTACATGACGAGCTTTTGCTCAGAGTATTGGCAGATATTCCTCGCCCAGGGAGTGTGTACCGGGCTAGGCCTGGGAACCATCTTTGCGCCAGCTATATCCGTGGCAAGCTCATATTTCAAGAAGAACAGATCCCTGGCGCTGTCTTTTGCGGCTGGAGGCACCTCGCTGGGAGGCCTTGTGTTTCCTTCCACGGTGCAATACTTGATCCCCCGCATAGGGTTCCGATGGGCTGCCCGATGTGCGGCGCTTATTGCTCTTACTATTTGCGGTGGCGCGTGTGCTCTGTTGAGGCCATGTATCCCTGGCCGAAGGGCAGGTCGTCTGATCGAGTGGGCGGCCTTCAAGGAGCTTCCGTACTCGTTGTTTGCCGCTGCGTCGTTTCTGAATTTCTATGGCATCTACTTTGGGCAATTCTATGTAAGCACACGTACACACATGGGCATACTGTTTTCCCCCAAAACCCACTTCTGAGCCTTCGGAACAGAGAGAATGGACAGTTAAACTTACTAATGTTGCTACAGATCAACAGCTTCGCCCGCAACATTGTTGGATTTTCGTCCCTCGAATCCGTCAACCTGCTCCTCCTGAGCAACGCCGTGGGCATTCCTATTAGACCTATGGTGGGATACCTGGCAGATAATTATTTCGGCCCAATTAATGTCTTTATTGTGGCCACTGCCTTTGTAGGTATCATGCTGTTTGCTTGGGTTGGCATCTCGACGCGCACAAGCATGTACGTCTTCAGCGCCTGCTTTGGAGTGACTATCGGCACTAACCAGGGCATATTTGTCCCTTGTTTGGCGAGCCTGACGAAAGACCCCCAGAAGATGGGAATTCGGTTTGGCATGGTTGAGACTCTCTGCTCCTTTGCCACGCTCGCAGGCCCTCCCACCGCCGGAGCCATCATTGATCGCTCGGGGGGCGAGTATGTTTCGGCCCAGATTTGGGGAGGCTCGGTCATGCTAGCTGCCTCTCTTCTTGTTGTGGCATCTCGAATCGCTGCGACAGGATGGAAGTGGAAAGTCACAATTTAAAAAGACACAAGGAAGCAGCCTTTTCTTTTAAAAAGTTGATATAAAAACATCGTGATTCTGAGTCTAAAGAATGCTTGGGATATGGGGAACCCAAGAGTTTCAAAGTCAGGATATGACGGCCAGGAAATAACCTAGTACACAATTGACGTACACAGATGGGAAAGAGTTCTCGCATAGCATATTAATAATACGTAGCATTTAATACACACTCTTATAGTATGAATATAGATGGATATAATTTTTTGCAAATACATGTCCCACCGTTTCTGTACGTGATAAAACCCGGACAACGTCCTAGTAGTCCGTGAACCATGAGTAGTCGTGATAAACACAAGTAAAGATGGGAATCTGAGTGCCGTCCTGTCATGTAGAATTGTGCTTATCAACTAGGTCCCTATTGGTCAAGAGACGCGTCAATGCCAAGCGGTGGGAGGGTGCGTCATCACAGCATACGGAAACTTGACTCAGCCCCCTCTACCGGCAAAGAAGCCAAGTAAAGGATTTGATGAAGATGTTACGCTTGCACGATACTCGCATCATGCTTGTCATATCACTTGACTAATGAGCGAAACAATGCTCTCCCTTAAAAAAAGATTTGGCGATTACCCATGACGAGCAATTTGGTAATTCATGTCGCAACAACCAAGTGTACAACTGCAAAAAAGGTATTCAGGCGTTAACATTCCCCTCTCTGGGGAAATAGAGCTATGTATAATGTCTGGCATGTGGTTCAGATGTCTTCTATGTGGGACTCGGCACTTGTAGAGCTGCAGAGTCTTGAGCATCTCCAGGGCTTGGTGACGGCCGATAATCAACGTTCGCAATGCCACAGAGTTCCCTTCCTTCCATGTGCCCCAGCAACATCTTACAGATGAAGGGACGAGGACTTTCGAGGTGGTTCGTGGACTATACGGAGTACCAAGGACCTCAGTGGATTGGGCTGTTTTCATTGTTAGCCTTCGTCTGTTTGTAGAAACCAAGGAGATACATGGGTATTACTTCAGTTTCGTATTCACATTTATTCAGACTTACATTATAAAGGGTCCCGCACTTTTTGCGTAGCACTATAAATAACTATTTGACTTAGCAGCCCGCCGCCATATTAGTGGCTTGTGACGAGCCTCGTAGATAGAACACGCAGGCCAGTGCTGGCATGGCTGGTGGCAGACTGTTGTAGCCGGTCCAGGTATATGACTCGACATTGCATTATCGGGGATAGCTATTCTAGAAGATGCCGCAAGTTTCACCAACGGGGTCGACAGACACTCTTGATTGGCCGTGAATAGAGGCGTCGTCAGCCATGTTCCCAATACAATTTCACGACTGAGGGCCGTTGTGAGTGGTTTCTCAGTCTCAAGACGGTATCGAATAGTTTGATGTCGAGGCACATTTAATGCACCCGCGTTAAATTTGGCTGTTGCCAAGGCGTCAGTGCCACGCTATCTGTCCTTGGATTAGGCCTTCGAATGGTGCGCGGGCTGGTTCGTCTCGAGTTGCAAGACGTGCGTTATCGGCAGTAGCGTGGATCGATCTCCCGAAGCTCGAATTTTAAGTGCTGGCGAGCGGGATTTTTTTGGTCTCGCCGACCGTTGATGTACATAGATATGCTGGTTTTGAACGTCCTTCAACGTGGGACGCCGGCCATCCCACTCGGAAACGCATAATGGCGAAGCCACCGAAACCAATTAGATTATGTTTGAGATAATTCCGGATTGAGATGAGATGATCCGTGGGTTGGCCTGGTTCTCATGGTAACCTTGGCAGCTTTTCGCGCCCAGAAGACTTGATAAAGCGCACCCAATGATACGCGCGGTCGATGTGTGAATTGGAGTCGAGAGGCCGTGCAACGAATGTGTGATGGAATTGGTCTGTTGTCCAAGCAATGTCACGTCGACGCTGGATCAACTCGCCGCTGCAAAAGCCCGGTCATTGATTGACAAACGCACGTGTCGGCATTTCTGTCCTGTCACCACCCGCCTGCCGGAAGATCTCTGCAAGCTAGAGACAAAATCGATGTCTGAGCTGCCTGTGCGGTTGACAATTCCGCATGTTTGGACGGCGCACTGGCAGAGTATCCTGTCAGATGGCGCTCTCGGTCTTGGCCAATCTTGATCTTCCGAGGGGACGAACCCCACAATAGATGGGAACTCAATGCAAGGCCCGGCTTGTGGCTTGGCGGACTCCGGGACAATTCGCGAGGCGCAACTACCACGAGTAAACATGAGAATGCGCCGCAGAATAGGCGTAGCTGGTGACGGCGGACTGGACTGGAGGCATCAACCCACTTACAGAGTCTGGATTCTTGGAATATCCAGCTTGGACGCTCGACTCTGCGTCGAACAAACAACTGAAGGCGAGGAATGACGACCAAGTTGGCAATTGCACCGGTTCTGTCCTACCCATAGGCGCGGTGTTGTGTCATGACCCCGAAACGCCACGGGACATGCATTACAGCCTCGGCGGTGACTCGAGTCGCGCGGATGTAACCTGGGTCAGCGAGATCAGACAGCCCTGTCCTAGTTGTGTTGGCGCCGGCGTGTCTCACTTCCTTTGACTTTGATAATACGGAGATTGCGGACTGTTGAAAGCTCTTGGAGGCTTCCGCATGAGAAAGGCGTCTTCTACCAGACATTTCGTCGTCCTGACCTCATCAATTGATGGTGCTTATGTGATGTCAAGTAGTTGCCTGAAAAGGGCAAGTCGCATTGGCCAGTGCCTGTTGCTCCTTCCACCGGCTTCAAAGCATGTCTGGTTTGCATGTTCCCAAGTGCCCCCCCAGGTGCCTCGACACGTGAGGAGTCCGACTGAATCAAAACGCCCTTCATGTCGATTTCGCGAATCTTTGTTGCCCCTACGACTCATCCCATGCGGCAGATGCAGCGGCAGCTTCCGGCCACCTAGGGATGAAGTGGCTAATTCTTTGCATGGTGCCCGGGATTTTGTCGAACTCACTGATACCCGAGCGCCAACTATCCCAGCGCGCCAATGCGGCCAAGTTGGCGCCGCAACTCGTCAATGGCGTTACAGTGGTCGACACTTAAGCTTCCGCCACCAAAGCTCGGTCAATCGATCATTTGCCCTTGCCTCTAGCGCTTCCGGTTGGCGATAGGTTCCTGGACACCAATTTGGGGGTCCAAGGGACAAACTTAACTCGATGGTGTACTCTGAACCCGTTGAAGTTCCAAAATGCACAATGATCAGCCGCACGAGTTGGCGGAAGTCTCACCCCTGCATCGAAACAACGTGGAACATACTGGCAACACTCTTCGAGACTGGAGAAACTTTGCTGAGCGGCCAAGGTCAACTACCTAGGTACCTTCTGGAATTGCCGTGTCCCGAGACATTCTCAAGGGCCAGTCACAATGGCTGCTTGAGACTTTGGCAGGGGACCAGGTGGGCGCCGATGGGCATGCCTCGTGTTATTATGTATTGCATACATAATACTCTGTACTCCATAGCGTGAACTGCTCGGCGGGCTCGCTCTTTTTGCTAGGTGCGCTCATCCCCAACTACCTACCTAGGTACCTATTTATTGTGTTTAAACTCTCTCCATATATACCCAAGTACTAATCTGGGGCAGAACATATCTACCTACTGTATGTACAATACATATACAGTAGTACATATATTGTAATAAAGCCTCAACTGATAGCCAGGTACCCGGTGGGGCGTGAGCGCGCCTAGCAAAAACGAGCGAGTCCGCAGAGCATAATTCACTCCATAGCGAACGATGGCTTGCTTCAGGAACGACCAGTAAGGAGGGCCTGTCCACTCGTCTTCACCCCGGTCACCATTCAGCCGTATGCATCATTTCGATCTTGACGGCTCGGGAGTTCCGTTGTTACCAGAATGCCCAGCATGACTCGAAGGCAGGCTCTTGTCAAATATTGATTTTCGCCTCCTTGAAATATTTCACAGAGAGGGCGTAATCTGCTTCGATTGGACTAGAGTTCCCCTGCATAAGAGCAATTTCGCCCTTGGTTAATGGGCGGCTGCGGCGTTCTGCCACAGGGTTAAGGATGTCTCTTTGGAGAGGCTGCACTTGACGTACAAAAAAGCTGACTCAATGGTAGAATCCAGGGAGGGCGACAGCAGCATGAAGTTGCGCCTTCTTTAAAACTATTAGGCCTTGCGTTTGATTCGTCACAACAGAAGTCTTTGCTATGCATCCCTGTATGTATATGCTCTGTTTCATTTCCGCAATGTACATGCTAGCCCTTCCCGAATGCGGAGCACAGACTGAGATAGATCGGGTCCTTTACTTACCATCCACGCAGGTCCACTTGGAGTGCTGCAGATACGGCCTTGTCTTTCAAGTTGCCCCGTCTCCCTAGACAAGTGCTACTAGCTAGGAACACCAAGGCCCAACCACAGCTTCTGCATGGCTGCATGGGATATGGTATTGACGGGACCGGATAGATAGCCTTGGCCTACCAGCCGCCCTCCAAAGTCTCCGTTGAAGTTGTAGGTGTTGCTACCACCCTGCTGGCTGTCCCCTGTTGGGTCCGGGTTGCGACACCTTTCTTAAATGGAGGGCTGTCGCCGCGCGCCACTTCATGGGTGTTGAATATTGGACGTTTGCGTTTTCTTCTTACTTTTTGGTTGTTTGCTTTTCTTGGATACCCCGTCCTTCCATGCATAGATCTTGTGAGAAAGCTAGTACACCACACCTTGACTCTCTTTGCGACTTGTAGCGCATTTTCTGGGACGCTGTATATAGCAAGCGGCGTTCACTTGCTTGCCCGTCGAAAATTACCCTGCGGCCTTAACTTTGACTTGTCCAACTGGACTCGTACCTCGATTCGACGAGACAAAACGACCGGGTCATGATCAGCAGTTGGGCCTTGTAGAAAGAAAGCCGTAGCGCCGCAACAGCCATGGCCGACGAGACGACAGTCGACCTGACGGAGTATAATGGAGGTTCACTAATCGCGGCATGTACGGTCTTGTTGATTACGAGCTGGTTTGCCGTTGGACTACGATCCTATACAAGAGTGTTTTTGATGAAGAGTTACCAAGCAGACGACTGGCTTATGCTGGCAGCGCAGGTTAGTCTCAAAACGCGAGGGCAAGTCTGGTGTGGTTGGGACAAATTTCTCTAACTCATCTCCTAATGCAGGTGCTCTTCACCGTGACGTGCGCCTTTACTCTCGAAGGTGTACGACGGGGACTGGGCAAGCACAATGCCGCAGTTCCTAATGAAGATGATCGGGTGGCTGCTCTTATGGTAAGCGGATTCCTCATCGTCGCCCATGTCGCATTTTTCTCATGGCGGCTAATTCGCGTGACTTGACAGTGGCAAGCTTTGACCATTGCGATTTATATCATCGACATGATGCTTATTAAACTCAGTATTGGCGTATTTTTGTTACGGCTGGCCACGAAAAAGCTTTACATTTGGATAATTCGAGGATCCTTGGTCATTGTCACCCTCTGGAGTTTGGGCATCTTCATATGGGATATCTTTCAATGCACGCCAGTGGCGAAGCAATGGGACTTTAGGATCACGACAGGTCACTGTGCCGGGCCGGATGAGATCATTTCAGCAGCTTATGCTCTTAGTGTCATGACAGTTCTATCGGACTGGTTCTTCGTGAGTCCGGCAGCTAGTCATGATTCCGCTTCTCAAGAGTGCGGTATTCTAACTGTACATATACAGGCACTCATTCCTATTCCCATGCTTTGGGGTGTCAAGATGACCAAACAAGCCAAGGCCACAGTCATTGTCATTCTTGGTCTCGGTGTCTTGTATGTCTTTGCTTTCGTTCCTCTGCATTTCCTTCACCTTGCATGGTGCTAATTCAATCTCTAGCGCCAGTATCGCCACACTCATCAGGCTCAAATTCCTAGCGGGTCTCGAAATGACTGACGATTTCATGTGTATGTTGTGGCTGCTCTCCCTACTCCCCCCTTTTCATTTTCCTCTGACGGAAGACATGAAACCTGGGCTAATACCCACGCAGTCTCAGTTACAGACGCCATGATATGGAGTCTGGTGGAACCAGGTGTCGCCATTATCGCATCCAGCCTGGCAACTATCCGGCCTCTCCTCCGGGCCCTGAAAATTCGAGGCTTCCTATCGACCGACAAGTACCCCAGCAGCGGCATTTCAGGAGCAGCACGCTATGGACGTGGAAGCCGGAATACCCGCGGGTCCATGCCGGGCCAAGGCCCGAACGACGTGTCTCTCCACAGCGTGACCAAAAAGAGCGAAATCCGACCCAAATATGTCGGTTTCACCATTGACGAATCTCACGAAGAGATCCCAACGGGTAGTCAGAATAGTGGCGACGTGCCCAGCGACGCCAAGAGCGAAATTTTTGTCATTGAAGGCGCCGAAAATTCGCCCACGTTGAGCACGCATGATTTGCGGCCGGTGGACGAGCTTGCTGATTTGGAGTCCCACGGACGGGAATACCAGTTAAAAAAGGGATGGGGCGTTCAATAGACAATTGCAGTTCTTTTTTTTCTTCTATAAAATGCACAGTATACTTTGGGAATCGGACAGACATTTCATGTACTCTACTATACTGACTGTTGAAGCGTCCCGGCCGGATAGAATAGGATAGGATAGCTGGAGTTTGGGGTTCTGCCTACGGGCTTTTTTTTTCAGGTGAATTCGGGCATGAGATACGCCTTAAAAGAGTAATAGATACACTATTTCCATCCGATCAACACCAAATACCTTTGGCCAAAGTAGAAACCTGATATGAGACGTTGTGGATTATTCAAGATCCAACAGCCACATGTCGTACATATGTACTATATCTGAAACACACATTCCGGCAGGGTCCCTCCACCTTTCCCTCCAGAGACATTCCCGCAGCCCGTATTCACCATGTCATCCCATTTTCGCAAAACAGCCTGAACAATTTCAAGGCGCAGTGTGGAGAAAACCATGCTATCCCGTCGTCATGTTAATTTTTTTCCTTCTTCTTTTCTTTTCTTTTTTTTTTGTGGCCATCTTTGCCGACCTTACTTTTGATCTGGATGGTTCTTGACATGGTCGTCTCGTGGCTGGGGCATGGATCCTACCCTTGCTCCGGGGTGATTGGTGATTTGCATGAGATCCTGGGACCTGGAAATGCGACGGCAACATGCGTCTTTTTACCCTTTCTGGCACTTGGCACTCTTGCGTGCCTTTTTTTTATTATAACTGGATTTCTAGGGCTTCTACCTACTCCACGGAAGCTTCTCAAGCGCAAGGTTTTTGCGGCAAAGTAAAACACAAGCCAGGACCCTGTTCATGCGCGTCCCCCCCCTCTCACGGCCCCATGTTCCGCTCCTATCACATTCGAGTTTGGGTAGCTGAGATGGGTCCCGTTCATGCAAGCCTGTCGAGTAGCGCTCAGGGGCGGTTACGTGACGGAGGAGAATACCCAAAAAAGAGATGAGTGTCCTGGTGAAGAAAGAAGGCTTCTGGATGCCAGGCTCGAAGACCAGAGGCTTCCAAACCGGTTATCCGGCCGGGTTGGGCTGGGTCCGTTGGACCGCCGTGGTGCTGCTAGCGGGGGTTTCAAAGTTGATGGATAGGAATTATTAGAGTTTCTGGATCTTGATCTTGATTCACAACCTCTGGTTAAACTGACTGTGTGTCTGGTGTGGGACGTGTGATTGAAGGTTTGCGGCTTGTTGCGATTGGCTCCTTGGGAATCGTTGCTTGCATATTGACTTGGTGACACAGCTTCCGCTGACTTATACGACGGAAAGGGACCAAGGAAGCTCACATGCGTCAATGAAGCCCGGTGAAATGCGGGTGCCGTGCAAAAAATGAATAGTTGGGGAAGGATGGGTTGTGCCCATTTCGGCCAGACCTTGCTCCTTGTGTTGACTTGCATGAACCTGAACCAGAAACTTGTGTAATGTGGGCCTCAAGGCAAGGGACATTCCAAAACGGGCATCTGGTTCTTTCTCCTTGTCTTTCTGCCCAGTTCTCATGCCGTGAGTAACTCCTGAGGTGCAACGTTCCAGTCCTCTTCTTCGCTCCATATAGGAGCGAGGACGAACCGTCCCATAATCTTACCCATGCCAACACCATCCCCGCCTACAACGCCTTGTTGTGGCTTTTCGTCATTTTCTTCGACAATAACCGCCGTTGTTAAGAAGTTCATACCCGCTGCTGGACTCATCTCTAGTGTTATACCGCCCCAGTCAAGCTCTACCTTGCCTGACTTGCGAACGTTGAGTTTGCCAATCATGCCCCCATGAGATAAAAATTGGGAGCGGAAGCCCTCTGTCTCGTGCTCGTCACCAACGTCGTCGTCGTCTGCGTCTCTGCCAGAATCATCCTGGGTCAAGTCGACCGCGGCGTCGTCAGCGCTTGGAGTGTCCATGATATTGATATCATCGCCTTCTGCCTTGACTTTGGTCTTGCGTCGAGGCTGTCCTACTTCCCTCAAAGGAGGGATCAGTGGTGGAAATTGGAACAGATATAGACGTCCGTCTTTGTTAGATGGCCCCTCAGTTCGTGTTTCTCCCGCTTCGTCTGTGACTGTGATGGCCCCGAGTTCACCGGCTAGTAGATCCAAGTCTGTTTGAATGGCTCTCTCCTCGGGGTCTTTTGGTAGCTCCTTCTTGGGCTTCGTAGCCGGAGTTGCCTGCTTCTCTTCATCGGCTGACGCAACCTCAATCGCTGTGTCAAGATCCATCGGGTCTTCAGTATCTGGCTCCTTCTTGATCAATACCTTCTTTCCATCTGTCTCCCACACGCCCTCTTCTGGTTGATCCATGGGTGGCAAGTTGCCAGACCCATCTCCATCAACCCATAAACTTTCTTCTTCTCCAGTAGCATTTTCGGCGGCTTCAAGCTCCGCCGTTGTGGCCACAATGACTCCTTGTTCTTTGTGTTCTCGTCGGTATATACCCATGGGCATTGTGACGGCAGTACGACCGCTCAGCGCTGCCATCATTGCCTCATCGTCGCTATCGAGCTCGTCCTCTGGTGTCATGACGTGAAGTTTGTCTGCATTTATTCTTGCCTCGCGCATTCGAACATCGGCTTCTGCAAATCCTTTGCCCTTCGATTCGGATTTTCCTCTGCCGCCATAAAAGCCTCCTCCTGCAGCAGCGCCGCTACCGCCACCAAACCACCCACCGCCTGCTGAACCACCTGCATTCATCATTAGAATTGAGCGACGTGTGTTTTTTGAATGTCACTGGCGACATACCAGCTCCGGAAAAGCCGCTAGAGAACGGGCCACTGGCAGTGGAAGCTCCTCTGCCTCCCCTGGCACCCATTGCATCGCCTCGACTCCTCTTGCTTCGATTTCGTGAGCGACCACGTGCCCTCCTCTCAGCGGCTGCTCTTTCATGGGCTTTCCGCTCCTCTTCTCGGGCTAGCTTGTCTCTATCCGCTTCATCTCTCCGTAGGATCTTTGGCTTGAGTCGCCCTCCCGTAGTCGTACGAGCTCCAGCAGCTGTGCCTCCTCGGCGCGTAGAGATTCTAGTTGTGCTCGAAGATGAGGCTACTGCTTCGTCCAATGTTGCGGGAGTCGCTGTTGTGGGCTCATTCGACGCTCCGCTGTTGTCGGGTGCTTCGCTTTCCTCTGGCGGAGCAGCTCGCCCACCAGCAGACGTGGCGCTTCCGCGACGGATCCCTCTGCCTGCCGCCCTACCTCGTACCATTTTGATGATCGCGTACTGAGGCGGGCAGTGCGAAATGGGTTGTGTTATTGAGACATAAAAATGATGTCAATGGACAATCCTTTGCGGTCTTGACAAGCTCCAGAAAATTTGGGCGGTGGGCAAATCTTCATGGTGGGGGACGATATTCTGCCATGTCCCCCACTGTCAACGTCCATCTCAACGTGGGGCAGCCTCAGCCAACGCATCTTGGTTCACTCCGTACTCCGTACACTGCCATTGATTCCTAATCTACGTCTTTGGGTTTTGGGGGTAATTGCAGGACCCTCGACTTGTGTTGCGAACAAAAATAGGGCTTGCCTGTGTGGCCTGCCAAACCTGCCGGATCAATAGTTGGCAGGATTGGCATCGCTAGAAACACGCATCGGCTTGGCTGAGCTCAATCTTATCACATGGGGTATCTTTGCTATAGAGTACATCGTAACAAGATAATATGTCATCGTACACACATCAGCGCTTCCTCACCAAAGTGGGCATATATGCTCCCTTCCTTGGCCAACATGGATCCAATCCATCCCCGGCCCGACTCAACTGTTGGCGTTCCAAACTTGACGACAACGCAACCCCGCACACGAGCAGCGGACCATAAGACACCTTCTCTAGCTTCACTTTCAATCCTTCTCGCTCTCCATCGTTCGAAATCTGTCATCCTCTTTGCCTCGTCCTCACGGTCTTGCTCTGTGCGGAAGTCACGGGACCCTAGTCGCGGGAGAGCGTCGAACTCGGTAAGGAAGAATGACCCCAACTCCTCCATAGCGTGGCCTCGTAGAATCAAGGTGCCAAATAAGCTCATTTTGTGCATTGTGCCGCGAAGTTGTTGCTCAATGGCTTGTGTTCCTTGTTGAGAAAGTATAACCGTGTCCCTTACCAAGAGACGATCTCGCCCACCTTGCTCAGCTCGAAACCAAACTTCATTCCGACCTGTCCAACTTGTGAAGCTCCAATTTTCTCCTCGCGCAGTTCGACCTGCTGTTACCCAGTCTAGTAGACATAGAGATGACCCCGGGGAGAGATGAAATAGTTGAGTTTGCGTATAAACACTGTCTTCAAACGGTTGGACAGGATCTGGTAGCAGACACACAGCGGCCCCCTTGTCCACCTGGACAGTCAAAAGCTGACTGGTGACGACATCTGGAGACGGTGATTTGAAAATCTTGGTGTGACCTTGTGTGACAAGACTGAGATTGGCGCCAGGCTGGACATGAATGGAGAGATTGACTGAATCCCCTGCGACCAAACCGCCCCCATATGACAGAAGGAAGACCAGGACACTTTTTTGGCCACCACTGGGCGAAGTCGGAGAGATCAGTTTCAATGGATACTGATACGAGATAGACTCGAGTCCATTGCCTCCCCCCGGAAGTATCTTGGCGTTGATTCGGCCCTCACCGGGCACCGAAGATGACTTTGGAAACGGCAGGCTCCATGCCTGGATCATGGCCTCATGCGTGGGCAATGACTGAAGCTCTTGGCTGATCCTATTCCTGCAGCGGCCAGCCCCGTAGAATCAATGGATTTGACATGGGAGAAAGTGGTAGAACCTGCCAACGGGTTGATTTAGCTGGTTTCTTGTGCTCCGGACATGGTGTTGAACGCCACAACTTTTTGGTTGCTCGTCGCCCGTTTTGGCCGAGGTGCGGAATGGAATTGGCCGATAAAACGAGGAGAGGAGCTCGACGGGACTCTGAGCAGGCTGGGAGTTTGTCCCCAAGTACGGAGTACAGTGTACCTGGGTGGGTGCCCCGTGCCTGTGCTCTGTGATTGGAGACTACAGGAAGCCGAGGCCACCAAGCCACAGATAAGCCACAGCTCAGGAGAGAAGGCGGCAATCTCATTGGCCGAAGGGGCATAATCGCCGGTGTTTTGCCATGAGACAAGTTGAGCCTGCCCACTTGCCAAAATAACCGGTCGACCCCAGCTCGAGAGCCGCTCCACGCCAACGCGCGCCTTGATCGCCAAAATCATCAGTCGCGATTCAGGGTTGCCAACCGCCCACCGCCCACCGCCCACCTCTAATCTTGGGTTTTTGCAAATGCTTTCCGAGTAAACCATCGCCTGCAATTGCGACGACACATCATGGACGCAAATGCCAGTGCCAGCGCAACCCCCGAACCGGATGCGGATTCGCGTCGCCGCTCCGGACGCGTCGTTAAGTTGCCGGCCAAGTACGCGCCGGAGCCCACCAACACCGCTGCGCCGAAGCGCAAGAGAGGTGCACAGGATGGAGAGGAAGTGGACGATGAGGAGGTGGACTCGGAGGAGGACGTGAGTGACGAGGACGATGCCAGCGACGAAGAACACCCCGCTCCTAGATCGCGAAAGGCAGGCGGCCGCAGCAAGAAGCCTTCGAGCAAAAAGCCCAAGATCAATGGAGCACAGCCGTCGGGACCGGCCCAAGTTTCTCGAATACCCAGCCGGCCCAAAAAGACCGTCCGCATTGAAGCGGGAGAGAAGGGGACAGGCCTCTTTGGTAGGTTGACAAGAGCCTCCTATCCCCTGAAGCGTCTATTTATCTTCAATACTAACCATTTCCTACAGCCGATGTATTTGGCTCTGGAGACGCTTCCGACAGTGTCGCGAAACAATGGCTAGAAAAATATAAAGAAGATGACGCGTCGGCATTAGCTGACCTTATCAACTGTATTCTTCAATGTGCCGGCTGCGATCTGGAAGTTACGACTGATGATATACGCGACCCTGAGAATATCCCCAACAGACTGGTTGATCTACAGAATGTGTACCAAGAGGTTTGGCAAAGCCGTGATTCCGTTTGCCAATGCCACTGTACTAACCTTTGCACAGCAACAAATTACCGACTACCCTTTAATATCAAGAGCAAAGGGTACAAAGTCATTCCGCGACATGTTGGTGGGTTTCTTTCACTCTTTGATTAGTCTACTCCACGAGACGGATATGCTTTACAAGAATACGGATCTGATGGACAACTTGCATGCGTGGCTGGCAAGTATGTCGTCGTCGTCTCTGCGACCTTTCCGCCACACAGCAACCACGATATCCCTAGCCGTTCAAACAGGTCTGGTCCTCATAGCAAGCGTACTCGACCGGAGAATAGCAAACATAGATCAGCAGCTGGCGGCTGCCAAGAGAAGCAGGAACAAAACCAAGGCTTCAGAAGTGCAACGCAGCTTGAATGAGGCAAATGGGTATCGCAAAATTTGCAGCGACGGCATTCAGTCCTTTTTTGACACAGTGTTTGTCCACCGATACCGCGATGTGGACCCCAAGATTCGAGCAGAATGTGTCGATGCGTTGGGTGCATGGATTTGGGATCTTCCGACCGTGTTCATGGAGCCTGGCTATCTTCGCTACCTCGGCTGGATGCTTTCAGATACGAATGCTACAACTCGCCAGGAGGTGCTGAAACAGCTTCTCAAGGTGTTCAGGCGCGATACTCAGCAGCTGGGACACTTTATCGATAGATTTCGACCGCGCTTAATCGAAATGGCAACACTCGACTCTGAAGTTTCTGTGCGGGTGACGGCAATCTCCGTCATCGATACGCTACGATCTGCAGCGCTCTTGGAACCAAGCGAGATTGACGCCATTGCCAAGCTCATCTTTGACACCGAAATACGAATTCGCAAGGCTGTTGTCAATTTCTTTGTTGCTTGTATCGACGACGTTTATGAAGGCAAGCTGGAAGAGATTGGCGGCGCTGATGTTTTGGAAGAGTTGGATGACGTAGAGGAGGATGAATACGAATCCCCACGAAAAGAGTGGATTAATATCAAGTGTCTAGCAGAGATGCTGGCCATTTACGACGCTCAAATCGAGGAATCGCATCAGAATGGTGTTTCATCAAGCTTAGATGCTGCCACAGAGCTGCTAGATGGCTCGAACCCGGATACCAGAATCTCTCTTGCAGCCCAGGTGTTGTATGACAAAGTACCTGAGGTCACTAGATGGGAAATGATTTCGGGCTACCTTCTCTTTGACCACACCACAAGTGCTAAGTCAAAGTCGAGATCAAAATCCAAGGCCACTTCTCCAGAAGCGGCCTTTAAGAAGGCTATTGCGCCAAATTCAGAGGAGGAGTCTATCCTTCTTGATGTCTTGAGCTCAGCCGTCAAGTCTAGTCTCACCCTGACTAGCGACCATGACAAGGGCAGGAGAAAGCTGGGCCGATCAGAGGCGGCTGAGGCTCAAGAGGAAGTTGCTCTCGAATTGACCACAGTAATCCCCAAGCTGCTGAACAAGTTTGGCGCAGAGCCTGAGACGGCAGCAATTGTGTTACGACTCGAGCGATTCTTAAGTCTGGACACTTTCCAACAGCTGCGTCAGGACTCCAGCAAGTACGAAAGGCTGCTCGATGAGATAAGCACCCAATTCAACAGACACGATGATAAGAGAGTCTTGTCCGAGGCCACCGCTGCTCTCTTACATGCTCGCCAGTACGAGGAGCTTGAGGAACTAACAGACAGCAGGCTGTCCCTGTTATGGGACAATGCTATCGATGCGCTCCGCAACTTTGACAAGTCTTGCGAGCTGTCCGTTCGTGGTAATCTACCCTTGGAAGCATTGCGCAACTTGTCTACCATCTTGATGAAGATCAGTAAGCTTGCAAGCATATCTGACTGTGTCGACGCCATTGAAGCAAAGTCCAAGTCCAAGGACTCCTCTACATCACCTGTCATTGATATTCTGAGCCATATTGTCCACCGCGGCAAATACGAGCCACAGGAGGACGAGATTGATGACTTGGAGGACGAAGTAGTCACATTTGCCATCAAGACATGCCAGTTCTACCTTATGTGGAAGGCTAGAAGTATCGCCAAGCTCCTGGCGGCCGGCACAAGCTTGTCGGACGCAGCCTTGGATACACTCTCCGTTCTGCGGCAATCCTACCGAAGACACCTCATCGAAACCTTCTCATCCCGCGCTGCCATTGACCAGCTCCGCCTCTTTTCCACCGGCAGTCTCTGCGACCTCCATCTCACGTTCGCCACCCTCCGTCCCGCCATCAAAAACTTCCACCCTTCATCTGCAGCAGCCGCTGGCCGAGGTGATAAGCTCAAAGTTCTCCTCCAAGACATCGAGCCTGGCCTCGTCCCTGAACTCATCTCCATCTTCGAGGGGGCAGAGCGTCAGTACGCTAAAAGGTCCAAAAAGGACAAGTTGCTCAACGATCCCGCTGAAGATGAAGATCCCATGGCCGACGACGAAGAGCTCGACGAAGACGACGAAGACGAAGACCTGTCCAAGGAGGAACGCTACGCTGCCGAACTCAAGGCTGAAAGAGCCTTTTGTGAGCTCACTGGCAAATACGTCCTCGCCCTATCCGCCGGTCTCATCGAAGACCGCGGCTCACAAGCTGCTAAGCTCCGTCGCAGAATTCTCCGCAACGAAACAAAGCTCGGCCACAACTTCAAAGAAATCGTCGCCCATCTGGATGAGGAGAAGATAGCTAGACGGCATAAGAAGGCTACCAAGCAGCCTGCCAAGTCGGACAAACCAGGCCTGAGCCTGGAAGTCGTGGACGACGACGACCACGTTTTTGATGACGTCGAGCCGGAGGAGGGCTCGCGAGAGGATTTACGAAGGAGAGAGCTACTGGAGGATGAGCCTATCGACGAGGGCGAGGATAACGAAGGCGGGCATAATGACGCGGATGACGATGGATTAGGCGACTAGAAACATCTATTAAGCAAATGGGTTACGAAAAAGGACTGGAGGATGGTCTGCTTTGCAAGCTTATCTCATGTCGGCACTTGATCTGGATTTTTTTTTGTTTTAATTCCTTTTCTGGAACTTGATTTCTTGCTTGTTGTTATTTGTGCCCATTTTATACGTGTCTTGCGTAGGGAGGGTTGGGGAGGCGAAATGGGCAGAGCGTACGACTGGGTGATGGAAAGTGGGCGAGGTGTGTTATGAAGCGACTTGGGCAAAAAATTTTTTTTTTTATTTTTTTGCCCGGCGTTTTTTTTATGACTAGGTACATAATATTCAGATCGGCCACGTTTTTCCGTTTGTACTACTTTATGGGCTGAAACTGTAAGATTTGTGATGTAAAGGTTCCTCCTGTTGGGTTGTTTTGGTATTGGAGCAATCTAATGGATGAAATGTGCATAATATAAGACGGCGCCTGCGAGGGGTGGATATTGGAACGTTCAATGTCTGAAGCCGGTTATTCTAGTCCCAAACAGACCGAATATTCTTTCCCAACGCTTGCCGTTTCCAGCGTCAGCCTTTGTTTCATCATCTTCCGCGACTGTTACACCATACTGGCGAATACAACACGCAAAGGGGCGGTTAGAAACCTCTGGCCGTGCGGGCTTCTTTGTATCGGATTCTTCATCATCGGAGTGCGCTGGAGGGACACTGCGATTATTTGAATGTCTTGCTTTTAATAATCGGTCTTCCATTTCGGCTTTTTGCTCTTCCAAGTTTCCCCATAGCGACCACAGCCTCAGGCGTAAATCACTGAGGGTTTTTTCGTCGTTTCTCAAATCGGATGCATCTAGGCCCAAAAGCATTTGGGCAGATTGGTTATTGACCACCACCCAGATGGAGTCCTTGGAGCCTCCTTTGGACTGCGCATTTTCTAGTTTTAAACAGAAGCGCCACTCCCATCCCGTGACGACATTAGTGAGTGCTGAGAGCGGATGTGCATCGTTGTCAGAGTCTGAAGTTGTGTCGGAGTCCGACTCTTCGTTGTCCGAGAGACCAGCATATTCAGATGCTCTTCTTGTACGATGCGCAAAGTCTTCGAGACAAGGGGGCATGAAGTCGGTTACACGAACGCATGTGCGGTAATTGGAATTTATGAACGGCAGTTGGAGCTTGATGGTGTCTCCTTGTATTGTAGTTTCATGATATGTGGGTGCTAGTATGTCTGCGATGGACGTAACTGTCTTAAGTTCGTTTTCGCACCTTACTGGGAATTTGTTAGCTATATTGGCGGTTAGGCTGGGTGTTTAGAGGCTTACTTTGTCTGTTGAGGTCTTCGGGGACATTTTCTTCGGGGACATTTTCTGTGGTGATGTTATCAGGCGGCAAAGCATTGTCTGCCTGGCCGTTTTGTTGTTTATATCCTCGTTGTTTAGACAGTCGATTTTCGGTTCTTCTCTGTTTTGAGTTTTTACGGGCCTTGACATCCGTTTCCGAACTCAAGCCGAGCTGGGCCTTGCGTTTTAGTCCTGCGTTGGTGGCTTCACTAAGATCTTTGAGATCTTCCTGCACTTTCTTTTCGTATGCTCGCTTTCGCCTAAGGGCATTTTTCAGCTCTGGACTCAGCGTGTCGCTGGCAAGGTGGTCTAATTTTAATATATTGACCTTGTTTCCCTGGACACCTCGTTCTTCTCTGAGGTAACCTTCCAAATTGGTTGCATTGTGGCCTAATTTGATTTGCAGATTACGCAAAGAGACCCAGGTGCCTATTGAAAGGTGTTGATCTCGGATTGCTCCCGCGTGTGGCTCAAAACAGGTGATTTGCATGCTCATCTTCCCAAACGGGCCTGGCCACCCAGACTTCTGTGAAGAGCCAGAATATTTGCTCATGTAATCATTCGGCCTATCGTCTCGTTCCTCGAAAGAGCCACCCTCCATAAACTTGTAATGGTAGAATAGCCGATGTTCCGTGTAATCTGAAATCCACAAGGTGAATTTGTCACCCAAATCGTACGGCTCCTTGACGATTTGCACCACTGTATCAGCAAACTTTCCGGTCTGCAAGTCTTTTAGCTCAGAAAACTTCTTATTCAAGTTGGTCGAATTTTTTCTCATGATGTCGAACTCAGAATGTGACGGGACTCTCTCTTTGTTGATAGTGTTATATAGGACACTGACGAACTCATTCTCAATCTTGTTTGGTTGACGTTTGATCTTGGTTCTGGTTGGCAGCCGACGGGCATTGGAGGCATCGGCGCCATATTTGGGTATTTTAATAGACTCGTATATGTGTAAATCAGTTGTCTTGTGGGTGCATAGTGAAGTTGAATCTTCATAGCGTTGAACCTAGACTCTGGTTACGTGCGTGAGCGTTGTACATTGTCAAGGTCAAACTTACCTTGACTGAAAATACGATGATCACGTCACCGCAGCTAGCATCCGGCATATCGTTTTGTGGCCAAAAAATGTTGAGGAGAATAGATCCCTCAGGCTCGTCTTCGACTGACTGATCATAGATGCGCATCTGACATTTCCAATCTAGCACATTTAGCAAAAGATGGCGGAAAGAGTCAATTGATATATAAAGATGGGATGCATACCCTCTCCTCTCGTGGGAATTGGAGCTCGAAAGTCTGTTAGAATCCCAATTAAATTGATTCTAGATCCTGCACTGATCTTGCCCCCGAGGACATCTCCAACTGTTGCAAATCCGGATGGCAGCTTGCCTTGCCTTGTTAAGGACCGCGTGGCTGCCATTTGCGCGCATTTCTTCCCACAAGTTCCAAAGAAGAGATAAAGAGTTGTAAATGTCGGCGCAAATCAATGAGACAGCTTCTGGCAGCTTTTGATGCATGAACTGATGATTAATTTACTAAAGTCACTATGACGCGGTACACGCGTGTGACGATTGTTAGAAACAGTATCTCGACGCGGCTACACGTGACCAATTCAAAATGGAGCGAGGATAAGGAGGCGGGCAAGCAGGTCAGCCCAATGTTTCACGACGGGGAGGAACGGTCTGCTCTAACGCGCCAGAAAAAAGGGCGAAAACTCAAGCACAAACAGCTACGGTTGGAACTAGCACTGTAAACTGTCGAAGTTTACAGAGTTTACAGAGTACTCCGTACTTAAGTACAGATTGGCCGAGTTTTGCCAAGGCAGATGTTGGTTGCCCCTAACATTCAGTACTGCTCGCTCTGGCAAAGCCAGGTGGCGGAGTGTGTACTCTCAGTTTGACCGGCACCAGGGTGGACACGGCACACCGATATATTGGTGCCTCAGGCAGCCCGCCAACCCAAATGAGGCGGTTGCGGGTACTCGGGCTTAGCCTCTCTGGCAACGCAACAAGCAAAAAAGACTGGCTTCATTTCTTTTCGCCATCCCTCATCCCCCATTTCTCTCATCATCCCAGACCTTGTCCAATCTTCTTCGGAGACTCCGTCTCGTGCAGCTGCGTAGCCGCACTTCCATCAAGAGACGTAGCAAGAGTTTCGCTTTTCGTTCAACACCAGCCTTTCTTTGGGGCATTGTCCTTGCGGTCAACAATAACCCCCGCACTACGTGCTCTCGCCCACTTCGTCGACCCCCGGATACCGTGCAAGCTGCATCACAATGGCGGAGCGATACATCCCCGAGCACCGTCGGACTCAGTTCAAGGCGAAGAACACCTTCAAGCCTGAGGAGCTGCGTCGCCGCCGCGAGGAACAGCAGGTTGAAATTCGGAAGGCCAAGAGGGAAGAGAACCTTGCAAAACGTCGAGGTATTGGGACTGGTGAGAATCGTCCTGGCGCCTCGCTTGGTGCCGCTCCCGACAGTGACGATGAGTCTGCCCCCACAGAATCTCAGGTATGTGCGACTCATTTATTTTGACTCTAAGGGGTTTCTGAAATTTTGAATACCATCTGTCCCCCGTCTCCAGACCACCATGGCACCAGGAAGGGCCTTTTCTTTCTACCATTTCCTTGCTGGAAAAGCAGATGATTGTTTTACCTGTGATGTGGGGGTCTGGCATGTGGTTGCCCGACCCCACATCAGCGCTTGCACCCTGACTTCCAAGCTCATGACGGGTTTTGCAAGCTCAAAGCCAGCATTTTGTCACTGCATGACGGCGTTTGAAAAGTTTTCTTTTTTGCCTGGTTGATTTTGAAGTTATCAAATCATGACTGCTAACACATCTTCGTCATAGTTGAACGAGGACCTTCCTCAAATGGTCGAAGGCGTTTTCTCAGACCAAGTCGATTTGCAGATTCAAGCCACAACGAAATTCCGTAAGCTTCTGTCAAAGGAGCGCAATCCTCCGATCGAAGAGGTCATCAAGACTGGCGTTGTTAGTCGCTTCGTTGAATTCTTGCGATCTCGTCATACTCTTGTACAGTTTGAGGCTGCTTGGGCCTTGACCAATATCGCCTCCGGTTCCGCTACTCAGACTCAGGTCGTCATTGAAGCTGGTGCTGTTCCTATCTTTGTTGAGCTGTTGGCTAGCACTGAGCCTGATGTCAGGGAACAAGCGGTCTGGGCTTTGGGTAACATTGCCGGTGACAGCCCTCAGTGCCGCGACTATGTGCTTAGCTGCGGTGCTCTCAAGCCCCTTCTGAACTTGCTTGGCGACAGCCGCAAGCTCAGCATGCTGCGCAACGCTACCTGGACCTTGAGCAACTTCTGCCGTGGCAAGATGCCCCAGCCTGACTGGAACACCGTGAGTTTACACATGCCACAGCCTATCCGCGCTGGAACTCTAGACTAACAAATTCTACCAGATTGCTCCCGCTCTTCCTGTTCTGTCGAAGCTCGTTTACTCCTTGGACGATGAGGTTTTGATTGATGCCTGCTGGGCTATCTCGTATCTCTCAGATGGTTCCAACGATAAAATCCAAGCCGTTATCGAGGCTGGCATTCCACGTCGCTTGGTGGAGCTTCTGATGCACGCTTCTACCTCGGTCCAGACCCCTGCGCTCCGATCTGTCGGTAACATTGTCACGGGTGATGATATTCAAACACAGGTCATCATCAACTGCGGTGCCTTGCCTTGCCTTTTGTCTCTCCTGAGTTCAACCAAGGACGGCATTCGCAAAGAGGCTTGCTGGACTATCTCCAATATCACTGCTGGCAACACTTCTCAGATCCAGGCCGTCATTGATGCTAACATCATTCCTCCGCTGATCCACCTTCTTCAGAACGGCGACTTGAAGACCCGGAAGGAGGCCTGCTGGGCCATTAGCAACGCCACTTCTGGAGCTCTTCAGAAACCCGAGCAGATTCGCTACCTCGTCGCCCAGGGCTGCATCAAGCCTCTGTGCGACTTGTTGACTTGCCCTGATAATAAAATCATCCAGGTTGCGCTAGACGGCCTCGAGAATATCCTGAAAATTGGCGATCTTGATAAGCAAGCGGCTGGTGAAAGTGCTGATACCATCAACCGATTTGCCCTCTTCATTGAGGAATGTGGTGGCATGGAAAAGATTCACGACTGCCAGAACAATGCGAACGAAGACATTTACATGAAGGCTTACAACATTATCGAGAAGTACTTCTCTGATGATGAGGAGAATGCGGATGAGGGCATGGCTCAGCCCGCTGGTCCTAATGGCACTTTCGGCTTTGGCACTAACGGTGCCGCCCAGTCTGGTGGTTTCAATTTTGCCAACGGCGGTGACTCCATGGACATGTAAAGCAACGGAAGACAAAAGGATGCATCCCTTTCCTTCTGGCCAGAGCCAAGTATCTCTGGAGACACTACGTTGAATTTTCCAATCAATACCCCCTTTCACAACCACATTTACCCTCACACAATCACGTTCTAGCTCAAGTAGAGCTTTACGTTTGATCCCTCCCCCCCAACATCGTCACAACAGTCCACCGTCTCTATTTTCTTTTTTTAATCTGGTATGAAGAATCTTCGTAGGTGGAGAGCAAGGTAAACGGTTGCAGGATATGATTCAGGTCCTATGGTAGCTTGAAAGCTCCAACCTGAGAGATGAATGAAATGAAGCAGGAGAATACCGAAAAAAAAATCGGAACTGCCCTATGGGTAGCCCGCGCTGGCGGTGCGCAGGCTCAAAGCGATGTAGGACATTGGCGGAGGAGCAGTCCCACCCAGCGAGTTTTACGGGCGTCTTTCAAGAAGCGCAAGGACGGTCAAGTCAAGGCACAGGCACTTAATAATTGTTTTCATGCAGCGACTGGTCCCTCTGCGCCTTGATTACCCCACGGGAGATGTCGCTCCAGCGTGGAAGTCATAACCAAGTGGTTATAAATCACGGTAGGTACACCAACGTAGTGAAATAAAATATCTCGCCCCCAGATGACGACCATGTGCAATTCTGTGAACCAGTGACTTAGTGTCTATAATTCCCTGACGTATTACTTGGAAGAGATTTGTTCCATGTTGAATGTTTGCCTACTCCGGACCCCTTTTCTGGTTGTGTTTGTCCATACAGTAAGCCACACGGTCATGACCGTGCCTGCAGCGCGTTGGTTACACTGTGCGATTATTATATATATACTGTTCGAGGTTGCAATTTGCATCCATAGTCCACTTTTGCCGCCAGATGAACTCAAGCACCGCAAAGCCGCGCGGTAACGCCAATACATACATCTGTCATGGTGAAGAAGGGCAAAGCGAAGGCTGAGCCGCCGACACAGGCTATAGAGTCTGCTGGTAATAATGGGACAAAGGCGAAAAGGGGCCAAAAGGCCGAGTCTTCGACACCCATTGTTCCGCCAGCAGGCCCGCCCAAGCCAACCGTCAAACAAATAATTGGAGGCTCGTCATGGACGGGTAAGCTCCCAGTCAACCTTTTAAGTGAATACTGCCAGAAACAGCGTTGGGAAAAGCCAGAATACGACACCCGAAAGACACCTGAAGGATTCTCAGTATGGGTCACTTTGAGCGCAAAGGACCCCAAGACTCAGCAGTTGACCAAGTTGGACCCATTCAAGATACCTCTCAGTCATAAACATTTGATTTTGAGGGACACGGCCCTGGAGGCCAAGCATGCCGCTGCTACGTATGCTTTGTTCAGAGTTTGCAGCATGCAAAACAAGCATACCGTGCTGCCGCCAGACCACAAGTCATTGTGGAAAGAGTTTCAGGCATTGAAAGTGCAAGATGTGAAGGATGGCAAGGCATGGATGTATGAAGCGGATCCATTCAGAGCGCTTCAAGAAAGACAGGAGGCCAAGGCTGCTGCGGACAAGAAGCGAAGGGAGCTCGAGCAAGCCAAGGCCAAGGCCAAGGAAATGCCTGGTGCATCAGGCTTGGTGTTGTTGAGCAACTCTGGAAACGATAAAGGGGCTTCATTCAACCCGATGAAGGGATGGACCACGGCACCAAAGGTTGAGATGGGCAGACAGACAAGAGTGCAGCTTGAAGCACTTCTTCGAAACGGAATCTCCTGGAATCCGCACGGTGTACGAATGCAACAAGATCAGAAGCGCTTCCTGGTTACGGAACTTGGCAAATTAGGGTTCAGACGAAGTCACGTCATTGAGGCCGTGGAATACTGCAAAGACCGTGAAGAAGCCCTTGAATGGTTGTTGATTCATGTACCTGAAGATGACTTGCCACGCTGGGCTATACCCGAAAGCTATTCTGCTGGTGTCTCTATTGGATCTACAAATCTGAAGCGAGAGGGAATTATTAAATCTTTATCAGAAACAGGCTACTCTGTTGAGCTGTGTACTCGCATTCTCGATGAAAACGATGGAGATGAAAGTAAAGCAGCCGAGGCCTTGCAGCACATTTTGCTTTCATCTAGCCCTGCAAGCGACGCAGAACAGGGTGAATCTGATGACTTCCTGGACATGGGTTCACCAGAAGAGCAATGGGACGATGAAATCGCTAGCCTAGAAGCCATGTATGGTGACGCTTTCCGCCGCGAATCTAACGACTTGATCCAGTTGAAGCTGGAATCGGTAAAGAACGCTCAGAGCGGTCAAAAAGGCGAGGTTGAAACATTCCTACAAGTTCGAAGACCGTCTAGCTACCCGAAACATCTGATCATAGCAATCATCGCAAAACTGCCGTCTTACATTAAGCTCAGCATAGTCAGACGGGCCCTAGCATACATGGAAAATTCTCTGCGGGATGAACCAATGAAGATTTATCTTGTTATGGACTGGATTCAGCAGAACATCAACGGAATCATCGACAGCCCTGGCAATTTAGTTGACATTTCTGCTGTTTCCTCCGCGGCTTCAGAAAACCGTCCAGTTGCACAAGGGAGACGGGTAAAGAGAACTCGGAATGTCCGACCAATCAATTGGGTATCCGATTCTAAAACCAAGGAGGAGTGGCTTCGTCGACAAGAAAGCTCGGCATGGAAAGATATGTTATCGAAACGACAGAGACTTCCAGCCTGGCAGATGCGAGAAAAAATTGTCAAGACTGTCAACGACAATCATGTGACCATCATAAGTGGTGAAACGGGCTCGGGCAAGTCTACTCAATCTGTTCAGTTTATTCTGGATGATCTGTATGGCAAAGGCGTGGGAGGCTGTGCGAACATGATTGTTACGCAGCCGCGTCGAATTTCGGCACTGGGTCTGGCTGATCGCGTGGCAGAAGAACGATGCTCAAATGTTGGAGGGGAGGTTGGCTATATCATTCGCGGGGAATCTCGACAATCAAAAGACACAAGGATCACATTTGTCACAGCGGGCGTGCTGCTGCGACGGTTGCAAACATCTGGCGGGCGAGTGGAAGACGTGGTTGCTTCGTTGGCCGATGTCAGCCATGTGATCATCGATGAAGTGCATGAACGCAGTCTTGACACCGACTTTTTGCTGAACTTGATACGCGACGTTATGAGAACCAAGAAGGATATGTTGAAGCTTATCCTCATGTCTGCTACGCTTGATGCTGCCACGTTTATGGACTACTTTGCTTCAGAAGGACTGAGTGTGGGCTGCGTTGAAATTGCGGGCAGGACATTCCCGGTGGACGAGTACTATTTAGATGATGTCGTTCGGATGACGGGATTTAACGTTGAGAAGCCAGACGCTGGCTTTATCACAGACGAGTCCATGGGGAAAATTATTCAGAAGCTTGGCCACCGGATCAACTACACCTTGCTGGTGGACGCTGTCAAAGCAATTGATTACGAGCTTTCATACGAGAAGAAGCCGGATGGTATACTCATATTTCTGCCTGGCGTGGGCGAGATTAACCACGCCTGCAATCATTTGCGATCTATCAACTCGCTGCATGTCTTGCCGCTGCATGCGTCATTGGAGACTCGAGAGCAGAAAAGAGTATTTTCCAAGCCTCCTCCAGGAAAGCGCAAGGTTGTAGTAGCTACTAATGTAGCGGAAACATCCATCACAATCGATGATATCATTGCTGTTATTGACAGTGGCAAAGTTAAAGAAACGAGCTTTGACGCCCAAAACAATATGAGGAAGCTCGAAGAGACTTGGGCGTCGCGAGCAGCCTGCAAGCAACGGCGCGGACGTGCGGGCCGTGTTCAAGAAGGCAGATGCTACAAGCTATACACAGAAAACTTGGAACGACAAATGGCTGAGCGGCCTGAACCTGAAATCAGGCGAGTGCCTCTTGAGCAGCTCTGTCTTTCTGTGCGAGCCATGGGCATGCGCGATGTGGCTAGATTTTTGGGGCGATCACCAACTCCGCCAGATGCCAAAGCCATCGAAAAGGCCATCAAGTTGCTAAGGCGAATGGGTGCGTTGGATGGCGATGAGCTCACCGCTATGGGTCAGCAGCTTGCCATGCTGCCAGCTGATTTACGATGCGGCAAGCTCATGGTATATGGTGCCATTTTCGGCTGTCTGGACGACTGTGTCACCATTGCGGCGATTCTCAGTACTAGAAGCCCGTTTCTTTCTCCGCAAGAGAAGCGAGAGGAGTCGAGACAGGCGAGAATGCGGTTTTTTAGCGGAAATGGCGATCTAATTACTGATATGGAGGCGTTCCGAGAATGGGACGGTATGATGAAAGATCGTCTGCCGCAGAGGCAGGTGAGATCATTTTGTGACGAAAATTTCTTGTCTTATCAAACCCTCTCCGATATTTCCAACACCAGGTCGCAATATTACGAAGCTCTGAATGAGATTGGACTTGCACCTCGTTTCAGGAGCGACGCGGCGACTTCCAACCCAGTTCGTAATGTTCAGCTCATACGAGCATTAATCGCTTCTGCATTCACACCCCAGATCGCCAGGATTCAGTATCCGGACAAAAAGTATGCAAGCTCCATGTCCGGTGCGATGGAGCTTGACCCCGAAGCACGATCAATCAAGTATTTTAATCAAGAGAACGGACGGGTGTTTGTTCACCCAAGCAGCACAGTATTTGATAGCCAGGGATTCTCAGGAAGTGCAGCGTACATGGCATACTTTAGCATCATTTCTACCAGTAAGATCTTTATCAGGGACCTGACACGTAAGTTGCCACCTGAACACCCTGTGAAGATATATTTTGAGTACTAAGAGAGATTAGCATTCAATGTGTTTACGCTGCTATTGTTCTCTGGGCCAATCGAGTTGGATACCTTGGGTCGGGGACTGCTCGTTGATGGATGGCTAAGACTTCGCGGATGGGCTCGCATCGGCGTCTTGGTAGCTAGACTGAGGGGAATGGTAGACGATTTGATTGCGCAAAAGGTTGAGAACCCGGGCTTGAATTTGGACAACGACAAGGTTATCAAACTGGTGATTAAACTGATAGAGCTGAACGGGCTGGATGCATGATGCCCAAGCTGGATAGAGCGATGGTGTCCCCCCCCCCCCTCAGACATATCTGTGCTGCAAAATATGCCATTATCAAATGTATGATGTTTCTTTCAACGGCGGTCCAAGGCTGATGAGTGAAGTTGACGTTTAGCGGGGCGTTCAACCTCAGCTTCACTCCCAGTCTCTCACTCATCATTGATCTCTCATCCAACATGCACGCATCGCCATCACAACCGAACCATGGACTCCGACCCTGACGAAGCAATCACCAAGGACGAAATCCAAAGCACAGCCCCCGCGCCGCCTCTGCCCCAAAATGCCTGCAAGACCCCCCTCCACCCCCCGAATCATGACCGCAACTAACACGCCTCCCCAGTCACAGCTCTCATGGCACCCAAGCCCAAACCCAAACCACCTTCACGAACAGCAGCATCAACATCCCTAGCACCGCAGGCATCCCGCCCAAACCCATTCAAAGACCGCCTCGGGCTAGGCGCCTACATATCCTCCCCGTCGTCCTTCCCGCCCTCTATCATCATCTACGAAAACGCCGACTTTGTCGCCATCCACGACAAGTACCCCAAGTCCACCATCCACACGCTTCTCCTCCCTCGCTCCCCCTCCCACAACCTCCTCCACCCATACGAAGCCTTCAAGGACGAGGCATTCCTAGCAAAAGTCCAAAAAGAAGCCGCCAAGCTAAAAGCCCTCGTTGCCGCAGAACTACAGCGCCGGCTGGGGCGCTACTCCAAGGCGGACGCGGCTCGGCAGGCAGTGCTCAACGGCGACAAGGACAGCGAGGACGGAGAGCTGCCCGGGGGCAGAGACTGGGAGAGCGAGGTCAAGGTCGGTGTGCACGCGGTGCCGAGCATGACGCATCTGCATATACACGTGCTGTCGAGGGACATGCACTCGAGCAGCATGCGGCACCGGAAGCACTATAATTCGTTCAACACCCCGTTCTTGGTTGATGTGGGTGATTTCCCCATGAGCGAGGACGACGAGCGGCTGGATCCCAAGGAACAAGGGTATTTGCGGCGGGATTTGAAGTGTTGGCGGTGTGGGAGGGGGTTTGGGAATCGGTTCACGAGGTTGAAGGAGCATTTAGAGGAGGAGTTTGTGGCATGGAGGGCTGAGTGAGGAGTGCTGGACTGCGGGAGGCGTGCCGTTTGCATATAACATGGGATAGTAGACTGAGAATCTTCAAACAAAGGCAACATGCCCTTGGGCTCCCGCTGTACCGACATGTCGTTCGGTATGCGACTTACACCGGCTTTTCAATTTTTAGAAGCCCGAGTTTGAACAGGTACATCTCGTCAGGCACAACAACCAGTCCATTAAGCAATGTGTCGTAGCAAAAAAAGCAGTGGATTCCTACAGTACAAGGCTTCCCACGATCCTATTCCGTGCTGAGGATAATGCTCCTAAGCGCCTGATTTGGCAGAATACCACCTAACATGTACAACCAAAAACCTACAGCAATCATAATTTCACGCAAAATAACCCTTAATCTTGCTAATCCATTGTTGCCCAGTCTCTTCCCCCGGCGAAGAGGCGATTCCTGAAGGGCCTACGTCGAAAATTGAGCAAGAAGGACGTGAGATGTTGAGCATTTCTACTCACTGTCGAGAGCGTCATCGCCTTCAGCATCTTCAGAGTCGTCGACATCCTCAACGTCTCCTCTGATATCGGCATCCGGCGTGTCCACGTCCATGCCCTCCTCCCCTGCTGCCTCCAGCTCCTCTGCCGCGTGCTTCGCCTCCTCGACTGTCTCGACTTCAGCGACTAGTGTCGCGTCGCCTGATTTCCTGGTCCGCCCCCGTCCATTCTTGGCCTTGGGAGTAGAAGTCTTCGCCATCGCGGCCGCCTCCCCCCCAACAAGCTTGCGCGGGCGACCGCGTGATCCGGCTCTCGTAGCCGTTGTCTTGGTTGGTGTTTTCTTCTCCACGGCTTTCTTGCCACTACCCTTGGGGCGGCCTCTGGGACGTCCAGTAGGTTCCTTTGGCGGCTTGTTTAGCCTGGGTCTTCCACGCGGCCGGCCAGTAGGCTCCCTTGGTGGTTTATTTGATCGAGGTCTTCCACGCGCTCGACCACTGGGCTCTGGTTTGCTTACGCCCTCGGCGCTGGCGCGGGATGACCTTCGGGCAGGGAGGTCTGCAGAAGCAGATGCCGCCTCTTCTCTGGTTCTAGCCATGATACATGTGGTGATCAAGAGGACAAGGCAGTGAGTGGGCGAATGAGAGTGTGTGTTTGGGATAGATCGAGAAACGCAAGGTTTTGAGTGTCGTATTTATTGCGACGCCGTGGGAAAACGACTAGGCCGGTCGGCCTGGCTTTGTGTGTTCAGAGGTAAGAAGCAACCAAGAAAAATGGTTGGAAAATGGAAAAGAAATCAGGGAGAGGGGGGAGGTTGATGGAAGGAAGCAGTGAGTTGCTTTTGCGATCGATGAATTACTGGCCGTGGTTGGACGCGACAGAGGTTGGCAGAAGGGTGCCAAAATCAGAGAGCACCTGGCTGTGTATTCATCAAGTACGAGGGTGGCTGATTTTGTCTCTGGGGTTCTCAGTCGCGCGGAGACGCGTGATGGGTGTTGTCGGACGCAGGGACCGGCGGCAGAAGCGCATTGGCTCATCCGCCCCACTCTCGATCGCTCCTTCCCAAGCCACACGTGCGCCATGTTGGCCCTGGCAACCGCCATGACGCCAGTAAACAATGCTCCTGCCCAACCATCCCTTTGAGCACCAACACATCTGCGCAGTTGGGCATCTCGCAACCTTGGAAATTGGCAAACTTAAAAATTCAGAGGAGAAAAGAGCTACCCAGAACCCCCGTCTAGTGCTGTTCCGGGGCTGGATAATGTAGTGCACTCTCCGCCTGCGACTCCACGAAACTGTTCTTGACATCCACGAGATATTGCGTACCATGGCTCTTGATGCACGGTTGATGCCATCTGGAACTCCTGACCGCCAGGTTCTTTCTTCCGCCTCGACGCCATCGCTTCGCTCTAGAGATGGGAATGTACCTCTGCTGTCCAGGATGGAAGGAGGAGGAAATGTAAGGGTCGTTGTCCGCGTGAGGGCCTTTTTGAAAAGAGGTAGGCGCCCTCCTCGCTTTGCAGCTTGACATTTCAATGGGTCCATGGTGAAGGTGTACTGATTTCCTTGTCGTGGACGCGGATAGAGCTCGATCGACAGGCACGGTGTTTGATTCAAATGGACCCCATTACACAACTCACCACCTTGCGTGCTCCAGATCAAGACACCGTCGATAGCCCGATACCCAAGTCGCGAAAAGTCATTGAGGACAAGAAATTCACCTTTGACAGCTCCTTCTGGAGCCACAATATCAAGGATCCTCACTACGCCCACCAAGAAGATGTATACAACAGTCTGGGCGAAGAGTTCCTCGACCACAATTTTGAGGGATATCATACTTGCATTTTTGCCTACGGCCAGACAGGGTCGGGAAAGAGTTATACAATGATGGGAACTCCTGACCAACCGGGCCTCATTCCACGGACTTGCGAGGACCTGTTTGAGCGTATCGATGCTGCCCACAACGAAAACTCCAACATTGCCTACAACGTCCGGGTTTCGTATTTTGAAGTCTACAACGAACACGTCCGTGACTTGCTGGTCCCCGTAAACCCCAACGCTCCTCCCCACTACCTCAAAATCCGGGAATCGCCAACGGAGGGACCGTACGTAAAGGATCTGACCGAGGTTCCGGTACGGAGCATTAACGAGATTCTGCGATACATGAAGAATGGCGACCAATCTCGAACAACAGCAAGCACAAAGATGAACGATACCAGCAGTCGAAGCCACGCCGTTTTCACAATTATGCTGAAGCAGATTCATCACGATATGGAGACGGATGAGACAACGGAGCGAAGCTCTCGGATTCGATTGGTTGATTTGGCGGGAAGTGAGAGGGCAAAGTCAACAGAGGCCACCGGCGCTCGACTCCGTGAGGGCAGCAACATCAACAAGTCGCTCACGACACTTGGCCGGGTGATTGCTGCTCTAGCCGACCCCAAGGCTCTGCGATCTGGCAAGCGGAAGGATATCGTGCCATACCGAGACTCCATCCTTACATGGCTGTTGAAGGATTCACTTGGCGGCAACAGCAAAACAGCAATGATTGCTTGCATAGCGCCGTCCGACTACGATGAGACGCTCTCGACCCTCCGATATGCTGACCAGGCCAAGCGCATCCGCACACGTGCTGTGGTCAATCAAGACCACATCTCCACCGCGGAGAGGGATGCTCAGATTGCCGCCATGGCTGAGGAAATCCGAAAACTGCAATTGTCAGTGTCGGATTCACGGCAGCGAGAGAGAAATGCCAAGGAAGCCGAAGAGAGGCTTGAAGAATACCAGACGACTATGCAGCGCATGATGGAAGAACGCAGCATGGTGGCCGAGAGCAAAATCAAGAAACTGCAGACAGAAAACGAGGCCTTGAAGCTGCACCTCAAGCTGGCCATTGAGAGCCTCAAGAACCCTATTCCCGCAGTCAGCATCAAGCCCCAGCCAGCGGGAGAGGCGGAAAGAGAGAATTTGGACGGCTTCTCGGACGAGGACGACGAGGACGGAGACGATCACTACTACGACGATGGATATGACACAGAAAGCACGGCAGGTGTAGATGATTTGCAAGAGGAGATGCATCGGTACTTGCAGGATATGGGAAATCTGAGAAAGCTGATTGGGGGGGACTTGTCGCGATTCAAGAACGAGGAGAGTGTGAGAATGCCGCTGGGAGTTAGGGAGAATGTGTGAAGGAGAGGATACGGGGAGGATTGGCATATAACGAATTCGAGAGAAGGAGAGCAAGGGCGCGGATAGCTGAGCAGCATGTCACGCGGAATAAGCGCTGGTGTTTGGGAGCATGTGTTATTGGGTCTCGTTTTCGTTTTGAAGATTGTAGTGAAGAGTTACATAGGAATACTTATACGACTCATCAGCAGACATGCGAGGTTCAATAGTGACTGCTGTGTAAACAAAGACAATAGCTGTCATGGATGGGGAATAAACTACCATGCTCTGGGGCTCAATGCCCAAAGGTAAGAACAGAAGACACTACAGCAGATACGAACCACAACGACGAAGTCCAAATGTCAACAGGTCGAGTTGCTGCCGAGAGAGGTGGTGCAGACGGCGGCAGGGGCTGGCGCACTCGTCGGCAACACAGTACTTGGACGAGAATGTTTTTTTGCTTGCGAGTTGACCAAGGCCGAGGTTTACACCGCCATGCATCACGGGCACAGAGCTTGTTGCTTTGTGCAAAATATGCAATTTTCTATCAAGAACTGCTAGTACATAGAAACATGCAGGGTCCTCCTCTCATTGGAGGAGCGGATCTGCGGTCTAGCTGTACAATCCTGTGATACTCCGTACAGAGAGAGATAAAGAGCAGAGTTCTCCACTTTTAGTAGTGCAGACCTCCATGTCAAGCTCGAACTACAGTTGAAACTTGGCAGTTGCCATGTCTCTCTCACCATAAAATCCCAACCACGGACGCCGAATCATCACCCAAACATGTCTAGTGTTATACAATACATATGAAACCCCAGCTCAGCGCAACGCCGTCGCGGCAACACCCATCCTTCAAGACATGTCCTCGGCATCCGCATTCAGGAGCCGCAACCTGGCCTCCTCCATCTTTCTCCTGATCATGGCGAAGTAGCCCCGGAGCACGGGGTGCCTTTGCTCCTCAACGCCCTCCATGGCCTCCCCGGGGGCGTCTTGCTCAGCCGCGGCGTCCTCGGAATCAGTCGGGTCCATCTGGGAGTCGTCACCGTCACGGGCGAGGGCCCCCGGGCTGGCGGCCTCGGGAGACGTGCGCGCCGTCTGAAACGTGCCGTCGGACTCGGCCGTCAGGAACGAAGTATCCGACAGCTCGGCGTCCTCGTCGGAAGTCCCATCCAACACCTCTGCGTCCTCTTCGGGAGTCCCATCCAGCGACATGCAGTCGCTGCCGCTGCCGCAACCCGGGGACATGTCGGATTCGGAGGCCGATGGCCGCTGCGCCGGCGCGGCGCCCGCGTTCATGGAGCTATCCGCCGCCGTCGGCGCAGGGGGGTCGACAAACATGGGGGTTCCGGTGCCGTCGTCCAGGGCCGCGATGTTGAGCCTCGCCAGGCTCGCCATGACTTCGGGGAGGTTCCAGACGATATGGGTATCTTTCACACTGGCGGCCGAGACCTGCGGGCGCAGGTGGGCGTAGGGGTCGCCGTTGGGGATCTGCTGTAGGTGCTGCTGCCTCGCGGCCACGATGTCCAGCATCTCGTAGAGGACGTGGTCTTCAAAGAGGCTGGGCTCGACGTAGGTCGGGAACCCGTCGACGTCCATGGCGGTGTTGTCGTTTTCGTTGTTGGTGTTGGCGGCGGCGGCGGCGGAGGGGAGGGAGTCCAGGCGCGCGCGGGATATGATGGAAAAGTTGAACAAGTTGGGGTGGTGCTTGAGCACCCTGTCGAGCTTGTGCCGGGCGAAGTGCGGCGTGCTGAAGTATCTCTCGCACCAGGCTTGGGCGAGGTCGCGGAGCTGGACTACTTCTTGCCTCGTGTTGCCAAAGTTGATGTAGTCGATGATGACGGTGATGGCTAACATGAAGTTGTTCGGGTCCAGCAATGGGCTTGGGTTGAAGGGGGTGAAGGTCGAGCGGTCTAGCCGTGAGAGGGAAGGCATTTTCGACCGTGGCCCCCGCGACGGCTTGCAGTAGTATATAACTGATGTGTTGTATTTGGTTGTTGGACTTGTGCTATGAGTGGTGGCTGGTGAGTGGTGACTGGTAACTGGTGATGAACAAAGGGAGGAAGAGGGTTATTAAATATACTATACAGTTGGGTTTCTGATCATGATTCGGCTTAAAGAAAAAGACCGAAAGAAATTATACTTTTACTACTCAAAATCTTTCGCTTGTCTAAGTTTCCTAGGACTTGGTTTGGCGTGCAACTGCCGCGTAGAAGAACGCCGCTTGACGAAAGCTTGTATTCTCAAAGCACAGTCGGGCTGCTGTCCAAGTCAGCCATACGCAGCTAGACGCTCTCGTAATTATGACTAGTCACGCCTATTTCTTAGTCTCCTGGAATAGCCGCTGCAAGTGCATAGTGTCCTGCAAATAAAGCGCGGAATCGAATACACACTACACCACGACTACATCGTGACATGGTTCATCATTGCCAGAGCTGGTCTTGACCAGAAAAAGAAATACAGCATCTATGGAAATCTCGAATCAACCCGCATATACATGCAGATTTCCAGGCACAGACACGCACCGAATGCTCAAATTTACGTCTTCATGCCCCAAACAGGCCATGTTCCAACTTGAAAGCCTCCGCTCAACAGCCACCGCGTGCTTTGGCAAAGTATAATCGCTACACGAGTGTTCCGCCGGGCTTTAGTTCCAGAAGACATCACATTAGGGCCGAGCTTAATTTTCAGACAATTCACCAGCAGGAGTGCTCGGAAAGCATGAGTCCGTCCAGCTACGACGGGCATGGCTGCTACCTAGCTACCTGGTCTTTGCCAACATCCGCAAAGGGAGGCCGTGTTCCTACATGTGGCTCCGTGCCATCAGATGGCACCCGGCTGTTGGCTCTGGGGGGTCAAGGGATTTCGCAAAGGTGTACTATGCATGCACAGCAGATCATATATTCAGTAGCCAGAGCACCAAATCTCCACATATATCCCGTCAAGATCGGCTGGCCGCAGGGCTGGACCGACATGAACTGGCCCGAGCGGGTGTGAATTGTGGCATGGCAATCTGGCAGTGAGGCTTTTGTGACAAGTGGTTGCAGCACGTACATAAACATGCGAGGCTGTGTGCATGTCTTTCGTCCCATGGCTTGGGGTTGCCGCAGAGTAAGCGTCCAGAAGTACATAAACTTTGCGACCACGTGCATGCAAACCCGCAAATGAAGAAGCATATAAAACTTTATTCGTGGTATACAATAGGTATTTCTTAAACTAAATGACTTCAGCATATCCTCGTGTACTCGTGTACTCGTGTCGTCGTATTCGAATTAGTTGCTCGTGAGTGCGTGTATCTCTCTACTAAGTGGTATCCCAAATCCCAACGCCTGTTGTTTTATGAAGCTCCCATCTTGCACGTCGTTTGCCAGCATCAATAACCAACAGTCGGCACCCATCAAGTCTGCCGGCAGAACGGACAGACATAGCCGTTACAATCAAGATCGATGATTTGCGAACATTCGGCACATCTCCACCTCCAGCCAGCCTGTCCCGTTCGCTTGATGGGTTTCGGTAAGGAGTATGCGCTCTCGGTACTCTCCTTGTCCATCGCCTTCTCATCAATATCGGCGCTCTTCTGCAAGCTCTCCAGAAAGACCTCGAGTCGATCAAATGGATCAAGCACCGTAGACATTCTCGGAGACATGTCACCCAACATGGAGGCGGACTGTGGGTGCTCCGATTTGTAGTGCTCTTCGAGATGTATGCCCTGTTGGAATCCTTGTGAATGGCATCCCGGGTAGAGGCAATAGATCAAGTCATGGCACCTGCGTTTAGATGAGTATTAGTGTTTCGATTCGCAAGGCCGCAAGGTACGAGTCAAAGGGTCCAAAACTACCCTTGGCATTGTTCAGAAGCATGGGCACGCGGTGGCGGCTCAGGTCCCTTTGTCCTGCTTGGTCCTGTGACTTGGTCCGACATGAGAATGCGATTCCACAGACGTTTTGGCGTGGCGAGGAAAGGGGCTCGTTGAGTTGAGCGGCGCCTGGCGACTTCTGAATACAATATACACACCTCAAACGTGATGCTAAATGTTGTTGGCAGCGATACAGAGTCGGCCGAGACACTGGACATACGGTTGCATCAATATATCGCACGGGCAAGAGCAGAAAAGTGAGGATACCGAGGAGATTGGCTTAGTCAGTGCGTGTAGACCCGGTGAGAGATGGCATTCCCCGTACAAGGAAGGAGTTAGCTCGGTTGGGTGGGATCCTGCCTATTGTGCAGTATGTAGTACTAGTAACTACCTACCTAAGTAGGTAGTAGAAGTAGATGGTGGGCGTACGGGAATTAATACGGACATGGAGCAAGACAAAAAGAGAAAGGCGCGGCGCCCCATGTCCTGATTTGCTCATTGTCCATGGAGCGTTGACAACAGGTAACGTATGTACATACAGTGGGTGTACATCCATTGTGCGTCATCGGCTGGAAGCCATGCGGAATGCCGAGCGTTTCTTCACCGAGCTCTGCGAAATCATGAGTGCGAATCGTGATTACTATTCCCAACACCACGGGTTGGATGACGGCTGCGCATCTGGTTCTACGAGTCGACACCTTCTGGAGCATCCATCCAGTCTATGCCTACACGGGACGGGCCAGCCACAGCTAAATCCAAGTAGAACAACCCGATTACTGAGAGGCGCAGCGTCGTTGAGGGCGCAATTGGCTGCCTGGTTTGTTTCGACGCTTGCATTGACTCTTCTCCAGCGGCTTTGTCACACCTTGTCAACAGCACGGATGCACGTGTTTCCATCTGGAAGAAAGGCAACAAAGCGGGTGGTTTCCTGTCGACAAAGACTGTTGCACAATGCAATGAGCCACGCAGACAGTTGTGAAGGCCATGTGTTTGTTGCATGGCAATGATTCGCAAGGGCAACTAAACAAGCGGTTTCTTTTGGGAGATGCGACACTCGCCTGCACGCCGGCACGGATCGGATTCATCGACATTGATGGAAGATTGAAACGCAAACTGACGCATCAGCGGGCGCGAAGACGTGGAAGGAGCGAAGCAGCGCTCATGCGCAAGTCCCGACGCCCCAAGGCCCCAAAATTCCCAAACCGGGTCGATTATGTATGGAAGCCGAGCCTTTGCCGTCAGGTACTACGTGTACGCGGGCATTTACTAGATTCAATGGAAGCTGGGCAGAAGCCACGTCGAGGGGCAGGCCAAGACTAAATGTATCAGCTTTATCGATTGTATCGGGCTTTGGCCATTGTCGCCCAATCACTGCATTTGAAGGCCGTGCCATTCCGGCCTTGGTCTCCTTAGACTCTCATACCGGCCTACTCAAGTATTGGACAAGGAGTCATGACGACTCACTCACTGGCTGCTGAGAACTGCTGCTACCGCCAGTCATGCAACGCCATTGTCCCTGGTCTTGATCCTGGTCACCTCACCCAGCTTCTCATTTCAGCTGGCCCGGCTCAGCATTCGACTGGTCTTGATTTCGATTCTCAAATTTCCGCCGTCGCGCCCGACATAGACGGAAGGGGGGGTTAATTTACTTCAAATACCATTTACCCCTCCATGTGGTAGTATTGACTATTGATCCTCCTCGGGCGACCTTGTGCGACCTCCTCCATCCTGCTTACTCGAGAGCTGCAATCTCAAGGCCATGTCCATGTCGACTTGACCAAGCTGTCGACTGTTGGAGGCTGTTCATTGATGCATTGATTCATCGATTCATTCATTCATTGATTGATGCTTCCTGCTCACCCGCCGCAGCGCAATAGCCGCCCATCGCCCTGCGACAAGTCAGCGCTTTGCACAAAGGCATCGAGCCAACGTATTTATTTCATCTCCGCACCAGCTCGCCTTCTCTCCTTCACCCTGCCTTCGAAAACAACCGTCTCCCGCCCCCAGCCCAAGCGCCCATCTTGAATCGCAATTATACCATGTCCAGACGACCGCAGCTCTTCACCCATGGCCTGTCTGGCTTGTCGCAAGCCACCTCGGCCAATGACGCTCAGTCTCCCGCTGAACAGCGCGATAGTGCCAAGAAGAACTTCTTGAAGACAATGCGGGACCTGCCCACCCATCATGTCTGGAAGGTGTACTTTGCTAGGCAAGTAAAGAGCCGCTGCGTCCCACCCATGATGATGTGCAGCTCGCCGCAACTACCAGCACAAGCACGACACAGCTAACAAGCCCTCTCTCCTCAGGCCACCCCAAGACGAGTCCGGCCATGGCGAATACAACGTCCAGCTTGAGCAGCTCGGCTCCCAGATCGAAAGCGTCCAGGCGTTTTGGCGATACAACAATAATATGCCTGTGGATAAGCTAAAGATGCGCGAGTCCATCTATCTTTTCAAGGAGGGCTTCAAGCCCGTTTGGGAGGATCGCCGAAACATGCACGGTGGCAGCTGGACCTTCCGAGTCTCCAAGTCGATTGGTCCCGAGTTCTGGAACCAGGTGCAGTTGTTGGCTATTGGCGAGAAATTGGAAGAAGCTTTAGACGAAAGTGAGATGCCCTCCCCTGAAGCCTTGACGGACTTCTGTTGATCCCGCCTGTGTACGGGAATTGTCGCGATGCTTGATACTGACTATAATCACAGACGACCAACTATGTGGTGTTGGTTTTTCTGCCCGCTTCAGCGCACATCTCATCACCATCTGGCACCGCGAGTCATCCAAGCAAAAATCCGTAGATGGCATACTAGCCTGCATCAAGGGCAATCTGCCCCAGGAGCTTCTACCCAAGTCCGAAAACTACTTTTACAAACGACACCGCGACCACGCTGGATTCAAGACGCCTTCAGGGGCGCAGGCCGTCCTCGAATCGGGGCAACCTGCAGAGGAGTCAATTGTCACAGAGGCCAATCAGCCCGTAGTCAAAGTCGATCCGCCCTCGGCGCAATGAAACACAGACAGTGCTCCAACTATATGTTATTTCAGTCAGGTATTAGCAGGATGTTTGAGGAAACATGTCCGCATCCTGCCAAGTTGTCATATGTGACCCACCCAGTCAAAACCTAGGGTGAAAAAAGAAGGATGGCTATTGAATTTTGCATGGATTTATGGCGTTTCAGAGGGTACACTGCAGTATTTTCATATAACATGATGGGAAAATACCCCCTAAACCAACGCGGCTATTATGATTCCGCTATCTGAATGAAAATAACAAGACTTGGCTTCCTACGTCGATTCCAAGCCATGCAAGGGCCGTGACCACAAAAGCCCACGTAACTCAACAAAAGAAACAATGCGCCAAAACGAATCAGAGGCAACGATGCCAATGATGATGCCAGTAGCCCCAACTCCGCGCCTTGTAAATACCAATCCACTCCAAGTCACCACTCCCAGCAATCTCCCAACGTCCTTTACCAACCCTCCCGTCCCCCTATTCCTGCCTCTCACCATGTCCGTGATGCCAAAAAGTCACGGCCGCGTCAGTAATTGTCACCTCCAAACCCCAGCGCTCCTCATGACCCCATCAAACTCGTCCTCCCTGACGCCCCTCGCGACGCCGGCGCCCCCGTTCGCCTCCAGAATCATGTCCTTGAGCACCTCCTCGTCCACCTCCTCCTTCAGCACGGCGGCCACCCTCCGCAGGTGCGCGAGCGTAATAGGGCCCTCGGTCCCGTTGGTAAACAGCCGGTACGCCTCGTCGACCTGCGCCCGGTGCGCGGCGTCCGAGTCGTCCTCGTCGCGCGCGTGGAACTTGAGCGCGCATATCGCGAAGAAGGGCTCGTACGTGGCGTACCCTTCCTCCTCGGGGTCCAGGATCGACACAAACTCTGCGAGTTCAGACGGGGACGGCGGCACCCCCAGCGCCCTGGTATAATGGTAAACGAGAAGCCGTTAGCGTCGAGTCTGGTGGTTTGGCCATTGGCAGAGAGAGACATACGTGAGCGCGGACTTGACGTCGTCGATGGGCAGGACGCCGTTCTTCTCGCCGTCCATGGGCTCCGCGAACAGGCCCCATGCTTCCTTGATCTCGCCCTCTTCTTGGGCCGTGATGTTGTGCTCCTTGGCGAGCTTGGACGGCCGCGCCGCTGATGATGGGGCTGTTTTGCGCTTCGGCTAGGGGAGCTGTTAGCTTTTTTTGGGGGGGAGCCTTGGGAGGGGGATTGATTGTTATTACCATTGTGATTATTGTGTTTCTGAGGCGCGTTGTGGTGCAGAGTGGTTGATGTCACTTGGGGGTGAGGAGCTTCACGGAACAGTGCCGGATGCGCGGATGGTGAATTTTTCGCACGGTAAGAACCCCACATTGGCGGGTTTCTTAAACCGCTGGAGTTGGATGGAGAATTTTCTGGTTTTCTTTTTTTTTTTTTCCCGGGTTGACAGCCAAGGACGTTGCTTGCGGTGAACAGACAATTGACGTGTTGTTGAGTACGTTCGCGCTGCGATGGACGCCCTTGGTTACGAATCGCGACAAGTGTTGCTTGCTTCAAAATTTGCTAGAGCTTGCCGCAGTCTATCTTTTCCCAGAGCGAGCAAGTGTGGACAGTGAAGCAATAGCGAAATATGGTCATTGTTACGACTTTGATTTTCCTGGGGTTTCAGCTTATTGGTGCTGTTTATACGGTGCCTAGCTGTCCCTGGAGACATTCTTATTTTTGTTCAAGTGCCCTGCCTTTTTTTTTCTCATGTGCTATGTGCCTTGTGTGAATGAATGTAGTAGATACATGGTCTCAGGTTACATTTTAGATGGGGGTGGACTGAATTTGTCAGGCCCGTTTCAAGTGCAGGATGTATAAGATGCATTCCTCACTTGAAGTTGTTCTTCATCTCGCGGAGCTTGCCCATGACATCGACGGGGTCTGTTGCCCCTGTGGCCTTTTGAACAATGGGGTCCTGGGGAGTGTCAGTTCCGTGTGTGAGTTGGGCCTTTGAGGGACGGGAGAAGGGAGGGTTCCTACATTTAGACGCATGAATACGTTGTGTTGCTGGCCGGAGTTAGCTGTGCGTCGCGGTACGGAATGAAATGCCTGCTGGATGCAATGCGTACCTTTTCGTCGCCAATGGTAAACTTGCCCGTGGTGACTTGGTTGGTATCCGCAAATGCCTGCAACTTCTTGACGGGATCGCTTTGCAGTACGGAAATGGCAAACTTGACGTTTGACTTTGTGTATTCGTGCCCGGGCTGCGAGTTTGTTAGCAGCACGACTCTCTCAATCTTTGTCTGATCGCTCAATGGCTCCATCTTACATAGACGACTGTGTCGTTCGGCAAGGCGCCGAGTCTTTTGTTCAATGCCTCGTGCATCTCAGCGGCGTTTCCTTCAAAGAACTTGCCACATCCTGTCATAGAACCCATCCAGGTCCGTCCGTCAGTGTCTCTTGCCACAATCTGCCAGAGTTTTCCGATCCTACGCACCACTGATAAAGAGCGTGTCGCCCGTAAATACGGCCTTGCCCGAGTCGTCTTCCATGAAGAAACAGATGCTATCCTGCGTGTGGCACGGCGTATGAACGCCCTTGACCAGAATATCGCCCAGCTTGAACGTCTCCTCGTGCGCAGGCGTCTTGGTCACGCCCTCGCAGTTCTTGCCCCCGATAATTTGTAAATGCGGTGTCCCGAGCTCGGCCAGCTACCATGCATCATTAGCTTTCTGCAACGGGGTTGGTTTTCGGGCTCGCAACCATACCAGCTTCTTGTTGCCGCCTGCATGGTCCCAGTGACTACAAAGACAAACTCATTAGACGGAAAACATGAAAAAAAAAAAATCGATACACCCTCGCTCTCTCCTACCGCTACTAACTGATGGGTGTTGACGATGGCCGTCAAGTTAATTCTGCCTGAAGAGATGGCTTCTTTCAGAATAGGCGTAACCCTAACGTTGTCAGCGAGAATTCATTTAAAAAACAACCCCCTCATCATACATAAAGATGATACGCACTCTGGCGGATTGGCAGGGTCGATAATCACGGCATCCTTGGATTTGTCATCGACAACGAGGTAGGCGTAGTTGCTACTACTCCCGACCCCTAAATAAACAGTGTCAGCCATCCATGTCAGCTTTTTCTTCATAAAGAGCTCCCTCTCTCAACGGAGATGCAACTGGCGTGAGACGCACACATGGGGATCGACTGGATATGCATGTTGCGCTTGTTGTACTTGTTATACTGGACGAACTAGACAGAGAAGTCAGCAGCTACCCCATTGTTGACAGAGGTATGGATTTGCACCATACAGAATTATAAAAGCTCACTTTGTGCCTGGTGATCGGCGCCCTACGCACGAATTGTAGCATGAAGAAAGATGCCAAGCGAGAAGCCTGAAGGCGTGCTTTGTAATGGCTGGCGGCGGCTTGGGCGGGAGGTTAAACTCCGCCGCTGTGCATGGCGTTACATGTATGGCTTCACGTGATCGTGATATGAGCAACTCAGCACTTGCATATGCCCAGTTGCAGATTTGACAAACCGAAGCCACACCCACGACTGTAAGCTTCTTTTCCCTCCATTTTCTTGCACACGTAATGCACTAGCCGTAGCGCGTCTGTAGACAATGGCGTGCAGTGAAGCGGTATATTCGGTATAGACAGCCAGGATGATTGGCCTCAACTACGCTGGGCTCACCACTCCCCAAAATCCCGCTTCAGCTCATCCTCTCCCATGGCAACATTCACGTCCCTTCCACCCAGTCCTGTTTTCCCTTCTGTGATGGCACGATTCCGTGGGTCCCCCGAGCAGAAGAGCACGTAATGAGCACCTCACTTTCAGATTCCGTCGTGCTCATGGACATGATCAGAGGTATGTATGGGGCTCGCACAGCTGCAATTTTAGCAAAGACACTTGACCAAGATTTCTTCTCAAACTGCCGCAGCCAACATGCGGGTTCTCAGACCGGAATACGATATAGATATAGTCACGTACGCGGAACTCGGCAATCTAACCCGCGTCTGTATTATTCGCAGGGTAGCGAATGCAAGCAGATATAGCACGCCGTCACTATTGCTCAAGTCGGGCTTGCCCGGGGGCCTGCAGATGGGCCTGAAGGATGTGCTGCAGCAGACGGAGGACTTGTTGCGTCCGAAGCTGGAACGTGTGGTTGCTGAGCTGGGCGCTGGTCAGTCGCGATAGAAGAACTATCATCAGATGTTGTAGCGTGTATGGGTGAGGAGGCGAACCTCTGCCAAACCCGTGGCTGTAGAATGAAAGAATGCATGAGCTATACGTTGGTCTAACAGCACTAATACGATAGTTCGTGCCTCTTCATGAATCACTGTGTTCAAGTGGAACTTTGTAATGAAGCATCCATACAGATCCAAAAACTCCAAACGAGCTTCATCTTCAACTCTCTAAGGGGTATCATTTGTCTATCACACCATCCCAATCGGCTTCGCCTTCCACTCGCCTTCATACAGCCACCATCCGCAGCTACTCTCAGCAGCGGCACCATCCAGACTCTCTGCTTCTCCCTTGCCTCTGTCGTCGTCGTCGTCGTCGTCGTCGTCCTTCTCTTCATCCTCATTTTCTTCCTCTTCCGCTCTCATCATAATTTCCTTCGAAAGCTTCAAGCATCTCAGATACACCTGGTTCCCCGGCAATTCCGCCTGCAAGACGGCAATGACCGCCAACACTCTGTCTTTCTCAAACCCACCCAACCTACGCATCGTCTTCTCCCTCTGCGCATCATCCCCCTCTCCGCGGAGATATTCCAGCACCGCCTCCCTACAAGCATCATGTTTCGAACCCCTATTTTCATCAGCCAGGTCCTTCCAGTAGTAATCCCATATCCAAGCGAGCGCTTTGCGAGCCGCGGCACGTAGTTTCGCTAACGACGGCAACTGCTCGTGGGTAGCCTGGTGACGTAGTTCGACAAAGGTTGCAGGGAGGCCTATGGTCTTGGCGATGGAGTACATGCTTTGTTTGCGCTGCTTGTCCTGGTGCCCGTCCAGGAGGCCGGTGACAAAGCTGCCCGTCGTTAGCCATGATCGCTTGTTTGTGTACGTTTCATGTGTTCAGCAGGCTAAAAGGGCATCGTCAAGCAAGGGCCATGTTCAAAAACAGCAGAAACATGGCGTCCTTTTTCGCCCCAGTATCGGGTATTTTGGTTTATAGAGCATCACTCGAGCAACACCCAGCAACCAAAGACCATCATCACGCTCGCAAGGACATAAAGCAGTTTATGTTACAGCACGGCGCAATGCAACACCGCCAAGGTGGAGTAACACGAGATGAACAACCATAGACGGCACGAAAAGGGGGTCAAGAAAGCAAAGACGAAGGAAGAAAAGCATCATGCGCATGAGTATAAAACACATGCAAAAAAACCCACGTACCGACTAAAGGCAGCTGAGTAGGCTGCTCGCACAGCATAACTGCCCCCGGCGTCAGCACTCCCAAGATGATCGCTCAAGACGGCTGCCGTCAGGAGAGCGGTGGCCTCCACTAGATGGGGGCAGTTCCCGCGCTGCATCCACATGGAAACGCGAGCCACGGCCTGCCTTTGCTGGTCGGTAGTGTCACCGTCACCGTCTGCGCTTTGACTGGGCGGGCTCCTTGCATGATGGTCTTTATTCGAAACCTCGCTGCCTTCAGGATGCGACGCGTAACGGCGGGCGGGACTCGGGCGCGAAGAGATGTCGCTACTTGCCGCGTAGAACTGATCCCGTACTAGGAGCAGCTCGTTTCTGTCCCACCAAGGCGTCAGGACGTACTGCACCATGGGCGGCAACCGTCCGGGCTGCTGCCCTGTGTTGTAGTTGGTACGTAGCCGCTTGCTGGGAGGCTGCGGCGGGGCAAGACGGATTCGGGGCCGTAGGAGAGATGATGGAGAGAAAAAGTCTCCAGGTACGTAGATTGTCGGCAGAAGATGATTACTAGGCGATGACTGCGCGACGGGCCAGAGAGAGGAAGGGGGGGGGCGTGTGATGAATGTAATGTTGCTTTGGCGTTGATAGTCTTCTGCTGTGTGGATTCACCGGCGACGGACAACCACCGACCATCAACCACCCGAACCGTCTTTCAATAATTCCAGGGAAAGGTCGCCCATGGAAGGAAGCTTTTCAAAAAGCCCTAGATTGCCAGGAATTATTAAGACGAAGAAGGGAAAGGGGGAAAGGGGTCTTTACGGAGTACCTGGTCGCTATTTGGTCCTCAGCGGCATGGCCAGGCTCCCAGGCTGTTCATCTGCTCCACATGACGTCGAACAAGACGGGGCGACGGGAAAAGTTCATGCGTGGTGATGGGCCGTGATGAGCTGTTTGGTGTTATGGGAGAACAAGTCGCAGGCAAGGTGCAGGCAGCGTACAGGTCGCCGGGCCGATAATGGTTGGGATGTTGAGATGGCTGGATCAGTTGCTCCGCTGCGAATCCACATGTGAAGCGCTAGAAACGGCACGGAACAATGCCAGGCCTTCTGCTTTCCAGTGTTCGGATGTTCGGGCAAAGGGTCGACGGTGGTACCCGGCACTCGCTGCTCGGTACCAGGCAGGAGGCAGGAGGTCAATAGTAAATTAGCCCGCTTTATCACGGTGCTCTGCAAGGCTCGGTCTTGGCGGCGAACATTGTACATACGGCGTACTCATGTGGCCGCGGGCCTGTTGCTCTTTCCTCACGATGCTTCGACTACGCAGTCTCGCGCAGCTGCGTGGCCTGCCTCTGCGCATGGCATTTACCGGCAACTCGCATAGTGAGCAGATGACATGTCGTGTGCCTGTCACGCTGTGTCATGTTGAATACCCGACGAGGAGGAGCGCCGCATTCTCGGGTCAAAAACCTTGAACCCCAGCGGCTATAAACCTCTTGTTAAGCTAAGGCACCCTTGGCGCATCCCACCAGACCTGACTCAGTGCCTGTCAGTGACACTGGACATCTCACGCTACTCCGTATGTATGTACTGTGCGCCTGCCCGCAGTAATGGCTTGGGGTCATTGTTTATCGCGGCATGCCTGGCTGGCTGGTTCGCTGGACGCCCCTCAGACCATGGCCTGCCGCGTCCGCCTTTTAGCATCGCCGAGGACGCCACAGCCCAGTTTGCCCGCGTCCGCTTCTGTTAGGCTCTTCATCGTTTCAAGATGGCCCTATTTTCGTCTGGCGGTGAAAATCACAAACGTGCCGGTTGCCAACCAGGGAAATCCGCGTCACACGCATTTGATACCTGGACAATCCAGCCGGCCGGCCGACGCAGGTCGGGCCCATTCGCCTCGCCAGTCACGTCGACCGTCGCACTACAGTTGCACTGCGAAGCCATGGATATGATGCAAAAGCAATCAATCAGTCAAGCAGTCATCACATGGCCCGCGCTGGACGCTGGAAGCCATCAGCCACAAATAGAGGGGTAAAGAGAGCAAGTGATACATGCGAGGCGGGGGAGGAAACCCGGACGCCCGCCGACGTAATACTTGCACTCATTGCATTGACAGCACTCCGTACGGAGTACATACAAGTACATCCAGTGCATGCCCAGGAGCCAAGAGCCACAACCTGGCTCCTGCAAAGCTCGCAGCAACTACGTCGATCTGTGTGGCGCAGCTACAGTGCACTTTGACCTGCGACTTGTCCCCTGTCCTCTTGTCTTGCCCTCCAGTCGCAGAAACAGCACTTGAGGCCAGTGGGGAAAGATAATAATGGTCCAACTCCAACGCGCAGCAAAAAAAAAAAAGGCGCCGCGAGAAACACACGCTTGGTCCCTTCCCTTGCCTCCTCCCCCCGTCGTAGTACTAGTGGAGATGGGGCCTCACCCAGACTTCACCCGGCACAAGCCCAGGCCAGCCCAAAAACAGCATGCCTAACTACACGCTCGGCGGCCAAAAGTGTCCAGTCAAGTCTGCCTCCATGTCCCCTTGCCCACCCCGTCAGCAGGGCCATCTCCCCATCCCCAATCTCCATGGTACGCGGCAGGAAGTAAAACAGGGCAATAATACCACTTCGTATTACCAAGGGGGGAAAAAAAATTCACCCACTCGCCAGCAAAAGCCAACATCTGCCCCCCCTTGGCTAAGAAGAAAGAAGGGAAAAAGGGCGTCCAAGGCCTCCAAAATGTTACCAAACCAACATGTGCACTCCACACCCCAAGCATGCCGAACGCCTCATACATACATACCTATTAAGCAGGTATGCAGTACTCCGTACATTACATGCACGCACTCAAAACGCAACCGCGCTCCTTCCCTCCAAATCTGCAGCCTCCAGCGCCGGACATGTCCCCGTCCCATGCTCATCACTCACTCACTCTCCGCGCCTGTCACCGTCTCTCACACACGCTCACTGATGAAAAATGTTTCCACCCACGCCCACACCCACGAACCACCCGACACACCCCCCCGACCCGACGCACAGATCCGCTGCGACACATGTTTGACAGGGGCACCCCCCAGCTTTTTTTCCACAGCGGCTCTTCGTTCCCTTTTTTTTTTGAGCCGGGGGGGGGGGCCTCCCTACCTCCTTAGTCCTCCTTCTTCTCTTGTAACGTGGGGCACGCGCTTTGTTTCCTGGTCCCCTTCGGGCCCCCCCGGGGGGGAAACTCGAGAGCAGGAGGGTTCAAAGCGGGCCACTATTGGCTGGCCCTACTTTTTATCCCCCGGCAAATGCTGGCTTTGTTTTAAAATAATAAAAAAGGGTGCCAAGACGAGTTTAGTTGCACAGGAGCACAGGCCGAAAAAAAAAAAGGCGGCTAACACACACAACTTCCATGTCTGGCTGGGACAAGCACGAGAGCACCTGGTTCTTGTTCCATGCAGTTCGAGGTGCAGTTTGTGCATTGTACGGAGTACATCCCTTTGAATGTGCGCAGGTCTAATTTTTGTAATATACAGGTTGTTAAGATTTTAAAAATACCCAAGTATATAAAAATATATTAATTATTATTATTAATATAAAAGTATTTTTAAGTATCTTTAAATATCATAAAAGAGGTGGGTTGAATACATCAACTGGACCTGCGCACATTTAAAGGGATACATAGCTACAAGGCTCCAGCTCCAATCAAAAACGGGCCTGGTACATGAGTAATACTAGACAACATTGAACCATGACCAGGGCTAATTTGGCTCCAATTGCGGTGAGCCAGCTCTTTCACCACGCAGATATCCATTACGCCTATATCGCACTTGCACTATTCCTCGAAGTCTTTTTTGATTGCACTTTGATACCATGTATGTATTCAAGGGGTGGCGGCTGCTAGCTAGCCTGCTTTGTCTGCTCCCCTGCCTAGCTACTAGACTTTCCTCGAGCGTATGCTACTCGTACAGTTTCCCTTTTTTTTTGGGCCATTCCTCGTCTCCTCTCTTCCAGTCGCCTCTTTACCAGGCCACAGATTTTTGTCCCTGGTTTGCTCCTGATTTAGCGCCGTCCTTGTACCCAAAAGATCCCATTCCGCCATGTCCATCCCAGAAGTCTTGTATGTATGTATGCATTTTGAGCTCCGGGCTGTCTAGAAATAGCCACCGAAAATAAAAATAAAAATAAAAAATACAGTCAGACATAACGCTCCAATTCATATCGCTCCCAATAAATAGACAAAAAATAAACACAAAACGGGAGAGAAGAGAGGGTGTAACTTCGCCGGAAGCAAATTCCCCGCTCGTTGGGAATTCACATGTGAAATCTTAAGGCCAAATCACCGGTCACTCAACCTCTCATTGAGATGCCGGCTTTCCACTATCGTTGAGCAAACGTCACCACATATATCATTCGGAGTCATCCTCGTCGTCTTCCTCTTCCTCCCCATCTTCCTCTGTTTCGTCTTCCGCCTTTGGGGGTTCCCAAGTCTCTTCAAGCTTGAGACCCTTGCCTTGGGGCTCATGAGGTCGGTACGATGATCCCAAAAGTGACGAAACAGTTGTTCGATAGTTGTTCAGTTGAGGGTCCTCAGCAAGCTTGTCGGGAGTATCGTACAAGCCCATGCCAACAAGAATCTCACCCTCTTCTTCAGGTTCATCCAAAGGCTCATATGAGACAGCTGCCTCGGACACTGTTGGCTGCTGCTGTGTCTGGGAGAAGGCCTCGGGAGTAGGTGGAGTGGTGTTGTTGAATCCATGTGCAATAAACGTATTCCAGTCCAGGCCATACGCGTCCGAAGTCTTTGCATTCGATGAGTTGTTGAGCGTTGCGAAAGGCTCACTGACAGCCTGGATATCAGGGCCAGTGTACGCGTGACCTGGCTTCTGACATGCATCCCATCCGTCGGACTGCGCAAACTGCGTGTTCTCTGCCTCAGAGAACAACGGTAACGGAGAAAAAGTAGATGAAGGCGATGTGTCGTTGGAGTACGAAGTCATCATCGGAGAAAATTGAGCCTGGCTACCGTAGAAATCGTTGGAATCAACGCCATACATATTTGGCGTTGGAAAGGGCAGACCGGCCAATTGGTGGTGGTGGTGCTGCTGCTGCTGATGTTGTGTCTGTTGCAGAAAGACGGGTTGTTGGGGGATTTGAACATGATATGAAGACGGATGCCAGCTGAGAGGTCGGGTTGGCTCCTTTCGTGAGGGTGTAGAGTCAATATGTTGATGCTGAGGAATAGAAAGATAATCAAGCATCGGTTGCTGCTTTCGACCGGTCCACACATCACCGCCCATCATTGTTCGTCTCCGGTTCGACATGGTTGAGGAAGATCTGGGGCTGTTATTGGTGCTATTGGGTTTCGATATTCGCATGGCTGTTCCTGCTCGTTGCTGTCCTCCAGATCCCCGTGATAGCCGTCTTGCTGCCTGTGAAATGGCCGTCCGGGTTGATAAATCGTCCAAAAAGACACCTTGGGGATACGATAGTGGTAACGTATCGGGAGTATACCCTCCGTATGTTGGATACATCATATTGTGAGAAGAGTGTGTGCTATCGATGGCACACGCACGACTCGATTATTGTGCGGGAGAAGAGTGGTAGGCAAAGAATGGAGAAGTCGGTAAAGCGTTATATTATGTTATAAATATGTGAGTATATATTTGTGTCTGAAAGAACATGGTCCAGATGCACTGCAAAAGTGAAAGAGGTCCTCGAGGCTATTTAGATATGTAAGTTCGGGGCGGGAGTGTGGAATATCAAGGGGGGTGCGGTTTAGACAGATCGAGCAAACAACAACACCCCTCATCTGTGTGAAAGTAGGCAAGAGAGGACGGCCCAAGCCCATTGCTCTGGTAGCCGGCGCCAGATCCAAACCCAGCACATGGATCATGGATCTGAGAGTAAGCCAAGCGAAGTACACATGGAGGATAATAAACGGCATTGCTTGGCCTGACGTTCGTCCTGGAGATGGGTCGTCAAACGTGCGGGTTGCATGTCCATGGCCCGCGCAAAGATCTGAGAAGGGGGGTACGCCCAGGCCCGGTATTGCATCCACGCCCTGCCTGTTGATCCCCGACTCGTCGCTCGGTGCGGAAGGCAACGCTCATGGTCGGGATGGCCTTCCTTGCCAAGTTGCTTTTGGCTTTCAAGCCGCTCCTTCAAGGGAAAGGGCAAATGGGGTCAGGGTGAGGGTAGCAATATTCAGAATCCAGGGGGTGCAAACATGTTGTGGGTGCAGATGCGAGCGTGTGTGATCTGCACCTGCGTCATACAGCCTACATACAGGCGGAGGCTCTCAAGGGTGTCTCATCGGATGGATTCCAGGATGCAAAGGCAAAAAAGGAAGCAGTGCAAAAATAAAAAAGGGTTCCATAATCTGGGGGGGCGGCCGTTCCGAGAGACAATAGCGCGCCAGCAGTGTGTGTGGGCACCTGGATTGTCTCCTTGCGGACATGGACTCAGTGCTCTCTCTGCACGGAACACGGTACGGAGTAGCATGTAGTGAATCCACCACCACTGGATGCACTGGATGCGGCGTTGCCACCAACTATTAGTTGTTGTCCTTGGTTATGTGGCACTCTCTCCAACCGAAGCCTCCCCGGCATCGACGGTGGTTGACCCTTGGCTATGGAGACGCCTTGGTTTTCAACAGTTGTGATGCCGGGTCCATTTGCTTGCTTGTTTTTTCCGTGTCTCTGCGTTCCCTTATCAACTGCATGCTCGTTAAGCTAGCAATAGCGACGTATTGGAGACCCACGCCGGATAGCCAAGACAGCTGTCATTGTACATGAGGGCAGATCGACTGTCGTATACTACCACCAAAAACGTTCAAAGTACCGAATATGCCGGTTGGTGTCTCCCGGTCAAATAGGGCAGCCGTTCCTGCGTCACAGGACCGAGCCCTTCGTGTCAAGGAATAGCGGATTGTCGTACATACAAACAGCAGCATGTGCTTGGTCTGCGCCGCTTTTGGCAGGACCGACAGGGTCATGAATTGCACCAGCGTCCAAGGTCAACCAAAGGCCCGACCAAGGAGAGAGAGAGGGAGAGTTGACTTGACGACCGGGATCATGGGCGTCCGGTCTAAACTGTGACCTAGGCAATTAGGAAGCCCGGCGTCAGGCGATTGCGCCGCCTGGGCGGTTCCAGAGCACAAGGCTGCCGCCAAAGGCATGCATGCATGGAGGCAAGATGGGAGAGCCTGGGAGCATGAACGCCATTTGTCCATCCTTGCCGTTGGAAGCAAGACAGGGAGGGAGAAGCATCAAGTCCACCCATGGGCGTTCCCTTAACAAACTGAGGCTGGTCAATCCCCACGGCCTTTGTGGCGGAAAATAGGCCTGGCCTCTTTTCCAGCACGAGGGCCATATTTGCACTCCGTACATACATATGAACTTTGCGTTGCAACAAGCCGAATATCATTCAAGTGCCAAAAATACTACCCTGCAAGCTCTCGAAAACATCCGGAAGTGAGTCACGACAAAATAGAGGTCCCAGTTTTTGACTGAAGGGACGGCTTTGCAGGTAGATGGCCTCATAGTGGCGCTCGCTTGAAAGGGTGACGGCGACAAGGTTCGAGCCAAATCCATCGTCACGGCCAGAAAGTGGAAAGCAGTACTAGTAGTTGCAATAGGAGCTCAAGGACGAGTCTATGTATGTAGAGAGGATCAACTGGTGGCACATGCCAGAAAATGTGATTCACGTCTCCCAACAGCGCTGTGTGAATTGCACATCACGAGAGGCCGGCTGAGGCTCACGGAATCAGGTGGGTCGATCCAGTAAGGGAGTCCTGGATCACTGGCTTGTTTTAAATATACCCTTGGGTGCAAAACTGTACCTGGTCACCAGTTAGGGACATGTCGGCTATGGCCAGGCGTGGGGGGTCTGCGGATCAGGCTCACACATCTGTCGCCAAAGAAATCCAGACGTCAGCAGGCAAACCACTGCACGCCACTGATAATAACCATGTGTACTACTAGTAGCTCTGTTCTTGGATACTAGTACATAGGCCGCGTTTAGGAGCAATTCCATGGCAATGAAAGTCGACTGCAGCCCTCGGCGATACAACCAAGGATTTTAACCCTGGGGCTCCTCCGCACAACAAATACGCTTCTTTTCTTTGCTCTGCATGAATAGATGAGGCTCGGGAGGGCAGGCTGCGTGCAATTGTAGACTCCACCCCGGCCGCCTTCATCCTGAATTCTTGAACGGGCACGTATTCAAGCCCGATATGTGCTCGGTCACACCTGCAGTAGTAACGCAGCAAAAACTGTTGGTCGTCCCGGGGTGTGTGGATGTGCCTGTTGGGGCTATGCAGCCAAAACTTTACAGAGCACAGCCGGCACAACATGAAGCAAATCAAGGAGAATCAACGATACTAGCCACAGATCTGGAAAGAGACATTATTAGCGACCGGGAATACCAGGATAGCGTAGGGTCGCGCTAGCCTGCTGTACCCAGGGATGGCAACAATTCTTGTACCTAGATGCTGGCTCGGTTTCTCTCGACAGTTTGACCCCACCTCTTCATTCGTCAGAGACATCAACCCGGGGCTGAAGTTGGCTGCCACAAAGCGGAGACCCGAACAGACCATATCCGCTCAATTGCTAGAAGGTTAGCCAAGCGGGTAGAGCGGACTGATCCTCACCTTGGACATGTATTGAGATAATAACTCGTATGACTGCATAGCATATACAGGGCATTCGGCCAACTCGGTAGCTGGCACCCATGATGATGTGGTTTTTTCCATCCCGTAGAAATATCCACATGTTTCCAATAAGAAGTAGATGAATAGATAAACCGCTGCAGTACAAAAACGTCTTCCGGGTCTGTCGTCCAGTAATTGTGTGTCTGCGTGGTACAGCACGAGAGTTCCTGGCACGCCTCTATGCACACAACCATACCACTGTGCGGCCAATGTCGCAATCATAGGCTCGCTGCTGCCACGGCGGAGCGGACAGAGTGGCTTGCTCATACAAACTTTGTCAAAGTACTGAGTGAACGATAACAGTCTGAATATCAGGCGCTACTGTGAGCCCAGGTGAAACGGCGAGGAAGAGTAGGCTTCGGATGGGGCATCATGATCCGAAGCATGACATCAAGATATCGTTGAGGCCTTCATGGCATTGATAGGCAGCTGAGCCAAGCATCTCAACAATGCTGGAGCAATCTAACCATGTTGTGACATCAACAAAAAAATGTCTCTTGCGTCGCATTGACCGAGTCTGCAGCCATAGGACCCATACCACAGATGCCAATGGCAATAGCTCGAGTTTCCGAAACCAGCTGTGGGTGATTGATTACCGATTGATACATATGTATGTACGTACCAGTATTTGATATTGTGCCAAGGATGAGAAGGCTGTGCCACACACGGCGGAAGGCGGATACATGGTCGTCCCACCTCCACCACCGTCAGCACCGATCAGCATCCACAAGGGTCCTCCGTTCCGCCGCGAGCCCGGGCCCGGAAGCACAATGATTAGTGGCAACGGAATGGCTAGGTTGTGACATTGATGAAGCGTCATCGACAAAAGAGGGGGTATACGCTTGCTGGCAAGACAGTCAATCTCTTGGGCTCAAAGAGAAAATGTATTATCTTATACGGGAGCGTCGGGTGGTCATCTGACGTGGCACAGTAGGGAGTATGTATTGCGAATCGAGAGAGCCGCGACCATATGGATCAGTCTGCTATGTTGGCCCCAGGCCACGAGTAAAAGAAAGAATGCGGTGGTGCCTGTGATGGTGTCGGCCTGCTCATGTTCATCATACAAAGGGACGGCAAGGAGTCTTGTGGGTCAAGATGATGCAAACTGGTAAGACGCAGGACAGCCAGCTATTACTACTGCTGGGATTCGAGCACGGGTCATTCCTCTCGGCTGGGTTGGAGGGGCGCCAGGGGCGTCAAGCCGCAGATTGGCAGACTTGTGTCGGCGAAACCGCGCCTGACTGATTCTGGTGTACGCCATACTCCATGTTCAGGTTGTTGGCGAGGCAGTTGGCAAAGCCCCGGTCTGATATTGAGGTACGGAGTTACTACCAGGCATTAGCCTTGAAAGATAATCTTGCTTTGTTATGAGGCAACGGGAAGCATGGGCGACCGGAGGCTGGCTGGCAAAATGTGGTTGGCTAACTCATGCTAGAAGGATGAAAAGTGGAATGGCGCCGGGGGGTTGCTGCGGCGCCGGAGTGTTGTATGAAGACTCGGAAAAGGATGAGGAGATTGCGTATTTGGTTGCGCGTGGGCTTATTCTGTACACGGTGTTGCGTTGAGGCTGGAGGTGGGAAAGCCTGGGTGCGCGTCGTAGGTGTTTGGTGGACTAGGACGATGATGCGTGGGAAGGTGCGACTGCGGGCTGTCCCATATTATCCC